ATATATGTGCTCAGTTATTTCTACTTATCCAAACAAACCAAAATAATTGTTACAAACTATCAGCTAAACCCACTTGCATTTCTAATGGTGAGCATTGAGATCTTTAGAGGGCCTTGATTATTTTTCCCTCATCATTGTCTTCCCAACAACAGATCAATGCCTGATTCATAGTTTAGTGCTTAAAAAATGTTTGTGTTGAATAACTGTTACTTTACCCTCAGGAAAACCTTCTAAAGTCATTAGATTGAGTCAAGTATTCTTATCCCCATTAAAGCAACAAAGATAACTAAGGGCCCAAAGAGGTCCAAGGATCTATGATCAGAGAAAAATATAAGGACAGGGCTAGAACTTGGAAGACAGAATTCCAACCCTATATTGGAGCCTTTCACGTTTTTCCATGTTTCTTGATTCAATAAGAAACACAACTGAGTGAAAAGTAATAGAATATATTATATCAGCCTATTCTTATAAATTGTTGTAGTAATTTTAAATATTGCTAGTAATTAAAGATAAAACGCTAATCCTCTAATCAGTTCATATCATCAGATAGTCTATTATAAAACAAAACTGTTTCCATCTGATACAAAAATATGTTTATAAGTTCTCAGGCACAAATATGCATGTGAACTCTTACTCTGTACCTTCTTAACTCTCGCTGATGAAAAATTGTAGCTCAGCATCATTAATTAATGGTAATTCTTTTGATTGACATAATACCTCCATGTGAAAATGTCCAGGAGTTCCTCACTGATCAAAATGTTGAAGAAAATAATCCAGTCCCTTCAATAAAGCAACTCAAGCCACACTGTGTTGTTGGGGTTTACTGTGTGCTATAAATCAGTATGGTTCTGATTGTGTGGAAATGTTAACTTACCATGTCAAATATAGGTTTTGAACATTACTTATAAAAGTGTAAATGTTAATTTAAGTATCTGTATGTTTTTCATGATCTTTACATAAAGAAATTTTTATAAATTTGCATGAAATTTACTCTTAAATGTAGTCACTTTTGAGGTGAACTTTTCTTTACCACATCATTATTTATTTACCCTATCAGGCCTACCCCACTTATTTACTGGATAAAAGAAGATGGAACACTACCCGCCAACCGAACCTTTTATCGGAACTTCCAGAAAACCTTGCAGATCATTCAAGTTTCAGAAGCAGACTCTGGAAATTACCAGTGTATAGCCAAAAATGCATTAGGAGCCATTCATCATACCATTTCTGTCACCGTTAAAGGTATATCATTATATCAAATGCATTCCCCTTGCTTTCATGAAAGGCTCTGAAATTCAATTTAATATGCCTTTGATCATGTTCTTCAATAATGAAATACGAATTTGTATCCACATTCATGGTGCCTTGAAACTTTCTTCACTGGTATTGCCAGGCAGGTGCTCATACCACTGAGCTATATCCCCAGCTCCTCCTCATTGGTGTTGAAAATGGATCTACACCAAGTTAAAGATCGGCTCCTTCAAATCTGTCTCACAAAGGAATTCCAGTTAGTAAAATTAGCAGGAATGAGGAAAATAGAAAATCACCGTTATAACCCCATAATGATAACTGCTTCAGGAAAGATACACTGATAAATGTTAGGATTAGTGTGTGAAACTTTTAAAAGAAACCGGATATTTGCATAGCTTCAAAGTGTCCCCCTCCAAAAAAATTAATCACTACAGTAGTTTTAACATATGTCCACTAATTCTTTAATATTCATTTCTCAAAGAAATGGAGCTTACTTCCTTTCCTCTTGAGTGTGGGCCGCACTTAGTGACTCACTGCTGACCAACAGAGTATGCAGTGCAGGAGAGTAGTAGGTTTGCAATGGAGACAACTGGCTAGCACCACCTTAACCAATAGGAGGTCATGCTGATCTCATGTCCTTCCTGATGTGGTGCAGTCAGAAGGTCCATCACCACCTGCATCCAAGACCCAAAACCTCAGGCTAACCATGAAATAACATCAGGCACACTCTGGTTGAAAGATATTCTACCAAAATAACAGATTTGTGTTCTTCCCAAGTGTCAAGCTCATTAAAGACAAGGGAAGACTGAGAAACTGCCTCCTTGGAAGATACTAAGGAGACAGGACCAGTCAATGCAATGTGAGATCTGGTACAGGATCCTAGGACAGAAATAAGACTTTGCTGGAGAAACTAGGCAAATCCTAATAAAGCCTACAGTTTTGTAATAGTGTTATACTAGTGTTAATTTCTTGTTTGACAACTACAGCTAGTTGTGTAAGATGTTGACCTCAGAAGAGCCTGAGTAAAGGAAGTATGGGAATTCCCTACACTACCTTTGCAACTATTTAAAAATGACAAGTTTTTAAAGTTGCTTCCTAATTTTATAATTATATGTATTTTACAGGTCTTTAATTTTATGAGTCTTTTAATATTCTTTTGAATACCCAAAGTGTTTTTCAAAGCATTGTTTTAAATCTGTTCACTCTAAAAAAATGAGACTTGACCTTTTATAAAATATATATACTTATTTTTAAAATAGTTCAGTATATTCTTTCCTGTAATATTTATCAAAATCAGATTTTTGGTCTGTTCTTATTCCTTCAATAAAGCGGCTCCATATTGGATCATGGCACCCCGAAATCTTGTGCTGTCCCCGGGAGAAGATGGGACCCTGATCTGCAGAGCTAATGGCAACCCCAAACCCAGAATTAGCTGGTTAACAAATGGAGTTCCAATAGAAAGTAAGTTTCCTCGGTTGGCTCTAGTTGGGCAGGGTATTCGCAAGGCATATCTACTCCCTCTCCACAGTGGACAAGTGGTGATAAAATAGTTCTGGTTAAAGAAGGAAACCATATGTAAGTTAAACAAATGCACTAGATTACCTTTGAAGCTTTATTTTACTGCCTTTAAATATTTATTATGATTTTAAATAGTTTGTGCTATTAAAATAATGGTATGTGTGTTGATCAGGACTTCACAATATTTCCCATTTTTTACCTGGATCTTGGGAAGAATGACAGGGTCAGAAATAAACATCGCCAAAAGTTCAGATTATCTTCTTTGTTCACATCAAGTGATTTGTAGAAACTTCATAGGAATCAGCAGAGGTTGGCAAGGAGACTAGGCATAGAGCTGGTGAATATAAGAAGAATGAGAAACCCAGCTGCCTAACTTAGTTTTCAGTCCTCAGAATAACCCCGATGTCTCTAATTTCTCCAGTCTTCACAGGTCGCCATCATATTTAACACCTAAACAACAGTCTGGCCCTGATTCTGTTCACAATGTTCCATCTCCCAGTTTTCCCTCCCTGACTATTGGCTAAGATCATCCTCAAGTGCAGCTTACATCTCCTGCTTGCCACTAAGCCATTGTCCCATTGGCTGCTCCACTTCCGGCTCCTTCTTGTTAGCTCTTCAGCCTGTTATTATGCTGCCTGCAATGGTCTCCTCCAAAGTGTGCCCATAGGCCCGTCCACTAATCTTCAGAAACCCAGCAAAGCCCAGTTTTATCAACGTATTAAGAAGATACTTTGTGTTTACTGCCAGATCAGATGTGTTCACAAATTCTAACAAGGCCAATAAATGGGGTTTATGTACTTCCATTCACAGTTTTAACCATGATCTGGGTAAGGAAAAGCTACAGAGGCATTTTGTGGCTGTATATCAGGAAGCGTCTGCCATTCTCAGGGGATTATGAGTGAAAATTGAGATTTTAAAGAAAGTATAAGAAAGCTCAGAACTGAAAGAAGGTTTATGGTACAATATGTGATTTTCTTAGAAATGCATACAGAATAGCAAAAGTGATGATGTATGCTCAGCACTTTTGCACCACAGGTTTTTCTTTTTCCAGCTCAGAGCTTCTTTATGATTTATGGAAGGTTAAATGTGCTTCTGAGATCTCGACTCAGCAAAACAGACAAGTAGGAGGGAACTCCCATCTAGCCACTCAGAGGGGAAAACAGGGGAGCCAGAGGATGTTGAAGGAATAAATCCTCGTCCTTGGCAGGAAGAAAGCAGTTTTAGGCATGGGAAATGGAGACCTAGGTGGGAAATTAAATAATGTCTGATATTTCCTCCTGATTTGCTTGTCAGACATTCCAAATTGCCCATCCTAATCTGTTCTTGCTGCTATAACAAAGTACCTTTGACTGGGTAATTTATAAGCCACAGAAATTTATTGCTTGTAATCAGGATAGGCATTCTAGAATGAAGTTCCCACAGAATTAGTTTCTGGTGATGGCTCATAGATTCCACTCTTACATGTGCTCACATCATGCAAGGAGCAAACAGGCTCCCTCAAACCTTTTTTAAGGACACCAGTCTTATTCATGATAGTGGAACCCTCATGATCTAATCACTCCTCAAAGGCCCCTTCCACTTAATACTGGCACACTGGGAGTTAGGTTTCAACACTTAGCCTATAGCACCAGGATAGCCTGTGAGCGAACCTTGTACTTTAGTTGTATTAAGAGCTTTGAAAATGCACCTGTAGACACTGCTGTCTTTTAAATAAAAATTTGCAGGGGAAAGATTATCTGCAAGAGGACTGCTTTGGGGGAAGAGGACAGTGGTCCCAAGTAGATAAATCAGACCCTTCTACCATTATTCCAAATCACTCAGCTATGTCCAGAGCAGAAATCTCTCAAATCAGTGTGAAGCAGTTCATTTCTTCCATCCCAAAAGTATCTTTTAAGTCTCTTTGGGACAGAACAAAAGAGTCTGAGTGGATATGATGGAAACTTCCAGCACCTACAGTCCCAGGTGATCTCTGTGTGCCTCACAGCAGTCACTCTGGCAAAGTGCAGGAGGTGATGGGCTGGTGAGGACCCTGCCCACTCCCTGCATGACACCGAAAGGCACAGTTGTTCCCTGCCCTGCTGCAGCAGATGCTCCGTGAACACTTCCTGCTGAGTGCCCTCTTGGGAGTATACCAAGTCTTGACACCGAAGTCCCAGGTGGACATAAACATCCCCCCACTGTGTGGTGACCTCCCTAATCCAAAGGAGTAAATGAGGAAGAAAACTGTCAGAAACATCAGTAGAGGCTTGAGGAGATTTCTTGTGCTTTCCCCTTTCCACCCTGCCTGGTAGTTGCCCTGTCAATTTAGAGAACCCCATGAACAGAATTGCCTGTGAGGTTTGGGGACCATTCTAGAAATGGGAACATGCTTGTGTTTCATCTGCAGTTTGCTGCATGGGGCACCCCACAGATGCATCCAGCACTTCCAGGACATAGGGGGAGGATGGAGAGAGATGCAAAGATAGGATTAAGAACAAAATCAGCCACAGGGGCACTGAATGAGCTTGGTAAGGATCACTAACCTTCACCGGGGCCTACTAGCAACAGCCCCAGAACCTGCTGGGGCACAAGCTGATTTGCTGGCAACACCTTCTGCCCAAGAGATTGCAAGAACTGTGGGTGGGCCAGCTGCTGGAGAGAGGAGCCAGGGAACAGCTGTGCCTCTGCAGTCCCACCTTGCAGGAAGCCATGTGGCATCCTTGCCAGGTGCCTGAGGTTCATCCCATGAGCCACAAAGAACAGACACATTCAGGAGCCCATATTGCCAGACACACAGCTTTCCACTCCTGATTTGTGGGAACCTACCCAACAACACCAACCCGCTCCTCCGCCTCTGCAGATTCTGGCTGCTGAGTGCACACAAATGCTGTCCAGGAGAGCCAGGGTCAGGTCAAGAGAGGCATAAGATGGGTTTTGCTAACAAAATATGATCATTGATTTGTGACTGTATTTCAGAGTTGAACCTGCTGTTCTACAAAACTGAGAGGATTAATTCCAAAAGTGCCTGGGTGCATATATCAATGGTTTCTAAAGCTGCTCAACACTCCCCCGACCCAAGACCGGTGGAATTACTTAAAATTTCCTTTTAAAATAGCAGGTTGTGTTAAGTATGGAATTTGCCCCAAACTATCCAGAATAGTTTTTAAACAATCTACAGAAGTCAGAAATAACACAACTGTAAGATCTGGTGCTGAAGGGAGAACTTAGTTTTACTGTATGACTTGCAGTATTCTAGCACTTATGAAGGCAGACCCAGAAAGAGAAAGAATTTGCTACCAGCAAGACAGACAAAGCATTTCCTAACTCTCTCCAGGAAGTCACCTTGCCAGACTTCGTAGTCATTCTTAGACACGTGCTTATAAGTTCCTCCTGTGGCTTTTTGTCTTTTCCACTGGAAAGCCCATGCCATCCTCGTGGTGGTCCCCAAGGCCAAGGCCATGGCCAGCATGATCCCTATCCAGGAGGTAGCAGGAGAGGCTAACACTTGTAGACGGTTAATGGTCTACCATGTGAGTTGTGTTGGATCTTCACTCTCCTGCAAAAGACCCCACTATTCTTATATTAAAAGGCCCCTTTCCTCTCAGATATGAGGAGGAAAAAGAATAAAGAACGTGAGAAAGGGCAGATCTCTTGTCACAGTTACACATTTTGCTCACCCTGAAGGGAGAGATTGAAAACTACTAACACATGATAAGCAGCAAGGGAATGGAGGCCTAGTCTAGGATATTCCCAAGATTCTTTTGATCCTTCTTTCTTCTTCCTTTTTGCAAAGGTAAGGGGTTCAGTTGGTATTCTCTTATAAGTGATGGAGTACAGTTAGGATAAAGAGAAAGATTCAAGTCTTCACCACAAGATTGGTTCTACATTATACCCAAATGTTCATATTTCAGGAAATACTTACAAAGTTGAACAACTCAGGAAACCTTATCATCAGTCTCAAATGATTGAGTGCTCCTGTCTATAGTTGCTCATACCCAAAATGCATTTACAGTGATGCCTTGGATCACACAATTCATTTCCAAATTCTAGAAAATGACCACTTTCATGTTCATGTGGAAAAGATGGCTGTGATCATGTTCATTACCTGTTGCAGTGTTCCCAAACAAAAACAGAATTTTGCCAAATGCTTCTGTTTGTGAACCAAATTGTTTGCAAACAAAAGTATTCATGAACTGAGGTCCTACTATAATGCATTACTATCTGGTTAAACTACTTGATAAAGTTCTTTTTAGAATAAAATTACACAACAATGTAAAAACATTCTAAAACTTGATAGTATTTGGGACATGTAAGGTGGCATTATTATTATTATTATTATTATTATTATTATCATTAAGTGTTGGAAACATTTATAATTTCAGCCAGCCATGTCAGAAAAGTTAAATTAAAAGCAAGTGTTTCTGAAAGCTGTCACCCCAGTGCTCGACCTTACTTTTGGAGCTCATAGTTGTATATGAAGAGTCCATTCTCTGAAATTTCTTTTTCCGGTGTTCACTTACAGCAAATGAAACTGGTGCTCCCAGAATTAATTATTATTCCTTTAGATGATTAAGGTTTGCATGCTGGTGAGTTACTCCCATCCAGTGGGCGGCACACAGTGTCCAAAAGCTTCAAATGTCTCTGCATAATGATTCTGTTTTGTGTCCAGCCACCGACTGAGATACCACATGTCACTGTGCCAGTTCTTGGGTTGTTAACATCTCTTTAATAAGTGCTTTAGGAAAATGTAGTTCAGAACCCCATGGAAAGAGATCTACTTACTCATTTCTCATAGCTAATGTACAAGTTTGTTTTATTTCTAAATACCTTGCCAAAAATAAATATTTGAAGACTGCTCTATTTAGCATGAATAGGGCAGATACAGTCTGATGCCTTTCAAGGAAAGAATATTTTCCCAAAGAGTTGATACCAAAGGAAAATGTAACTCTGAACTACAGAAATGCTTTATGTCTGTGACTGAGGAATCTCCACTTGAGGAAAATTGTCCTCTAGCTTTGTCAGTTGAACTATATCTCAGTGATCATGGTAGCATAACTTTTATTATTATTGTTAAAGTATATTTACATTGCTTTGCAATATGTCGCCAGACCATTTTCATCTTGCAAAAACTAGAACCCGATGCCTACTAAACATCAGGTGGCGGATCTGACTTTTTAGAGTTCACATAATCAGGGAACGTGGGAACTTTTCTCCCACAGCCAGAGATATTTGGCTCAGATCCCTGCCTGTGCCTCAGTACATCTGCAGTGCCCAGTGCTATACTCCTGGCATATTCACAGAGGTATACTGTGGTACCAAAAGTCCACTGCAGATTCCCAACACAAGTGCCCAAATACTGGGTCTACAAGTGCTAAGAATAATGGACAGAGAGTCTCCAGAAATGCTGCCTTATTGGTACAGTGAATGGGCATCCCTGAAAGTGTGCAAGGCAGAAAGGCTTTGGTGACCCAAGTCCCGGGATCCAGGACAAGGAGCATGGGCCCTCCTAATGCACACCGCATTCTCAGTTAATCTCAGTTAACCTCATTCTCAGCAGGAAAGCAAATCACTTTCTCATCACTAGGGAAAATTTTCTGCCCCCCACATCATGGGGGAGGGGTTTTTTGTTGCTGTTGTGGTTTTTTTTTTGCGTCTTCTGCTTCCTCGTTGGTGGGGCATGGTGGCGTGGTGTCATCGCAGAAAATCTGCTAACCTCATGTGACCAGGAAACAACATGAAAAGAGGAGCCAGGGAGGAGATACACCCTTCCCTGTCACACCCCCAGTGACCCACCTCATCCAGTTAGCCCCACACCAAGCCAGATGTAGTATCCCTATAAACTAATCACTCTGCCTCTGAAGACATGAGGCTTTGGGAGAACATCTTGATAGAAACCATGACAGGTCCATGGCTGCCTGCTACACCCATAGTTCACTTCCTAGGCCAGCATGACACTGCAGTCCTCAACTTTTTTGGTAAATCTATAGGCAGTTGAAAAAATTATTACTTCTATTTGTCTTCTGATTGGAAGAACATGTTCCTGAAGACAATTTGGTAACTTTTAGAGTCAGAAACCGTAGATGTGAACTAAGAAGCCAATTGGAAGTATCACAGCATACCCCCATCACTAATGGAATGAACTAGAATATCCAAGAAGATCTCATGAATTAGCTACTGATTGTGATGACAGCATTAAACAACTACTCTTGTAGGAATAGCTTATCTTGCCTGCTCAGGAATGAAAGCATTAATCAGTCCATGAGGGTAGCTTATAAGTTGGAGTTTTAAGAATCTTTGGAAGCTAACTAAAAACTTTGGTTTATACTTTAATTTATGGTGCATTAATTTTTTTGTTTTACTAGCATATGCTTGCTACACAGAATAATAATGTTCATTTTGGAAAACTGGTGCCTACGTGCAACATATCTTGATCATTTTCAATCTCTTTACCCTCCTTTTTCTCAGCTCTCTTTTTTGCATATTCTTATCTGAAACATTTAAACAATTTTTAGGCTATACATGTGATGGAGTATGTGGTAAGCAGACTAACAGCCCCCCCGCAAGACTTCCGCATCCTCATCACTGAATCCTGTAAATATTTTACCTTACATGGCAAAAGAAACTCTGCATATGTTGATTAAGGATAAGGGCCTTGAGATGGTCCTCAGTTATGTGGTTTGGGCTCAATTTAATTTCACAAGCTCTCAGAAGCCAGAAGGCTTGCCTGACTGTGGTCAGAGAGGAATGTGACTATGGAAGAATGGTCAGAGAGATACAACATAAAAGGCTTTGAAGATGGAGAAGAGACGGTGGGTTATGGAATGTGGTGAGCATGCAGAAGGTGGAAGAGGCTAGGGGATGGTCTGGCCCCTAGACCCTCCAGGGGGGAACACAACCCTGCCCTACGTTGATTTTGGTTCGAGAGAACCCATGTCAGACTTCCAACCTACAGAACTAAATACTGTAGTAGTAAATCTGTGTTGTTTTAACCCACGAAGTTGTGGTCAGTTGGTTGGTACAGGAATAGAAAAACATTATTGCAGAAGGAGTGAGCACAATTCTTTTGAGTATGTGTAATAAAACAAGGATGAATAACTCATTTGCTTTATTTTTATTGAAGGGAGTTAATAGATCACAAGTGAACCAAATATTTTTTTATTTCAAAGTGATAAAATTCTCATTGTAGGGATGAGTACATCTTAGATAAACGTCTTTTTCCTATCATCAGAGAAAAAGAAATGGTGCTTAGAGTACAAGTAAAGCCCTCTTGACTGGCTCAAGTTGCCAAATGCAGTTTCAGGGAAAGTTTTTTTGGTTTTGATCAGCGTGCTGAGACCGTGTACTTTCAAAGCAATGTAAGGTCACAGCCTACGGCTTAACACTCACAAAACAGGAATTCATCTCTAATAGCACAGCAGTTCCAAATTGTTGGTCATGACTTAGAGTAAATCCTCACATATTATATTACCCAGCCAGTTCTATTCCACTTCAGCAAGGATAAATCCTGGTCTTAACATGTTTTAAGTACTTGAGGGATTTAGCTGAAAAAGCTGTCTTTAGGAGAAATTCTGCACAATTGATTTTTACTTCAGCTTCAGGAATTTCCAAAGCAGGAAAGTAATTATTTTTACATTTGATTACCAACCTATACCTATGAATGAATCTATTTATTTGTTTCATGAAGAGGTACTTAAAAGGGACTGGATGAGCTGGAGTATTCTTATTTTTTTTACCAACTGTTGCTATTTCCTGTGGATAATTAACTGACCTCCTCATAAATAATCAGTCTCTTAGTGAACAAGACAGAATTTTTCTATTTTTTGCAATTTTCATCTGACCTTGTCTTTCCTAAACCTCTCAAAGTAATACTCAGTTTTACAGAATCAATCCACTCAAGATTCAGTGAATATTGAGCATAGATGTTGAGCATAGATGCTGATACATGATAGCTAAATTCTGATGAGAAAATAATGGTGGCCCCAGCCTGGATTCTAGTCATCTTCTTGCTACATATGCCTATCTCTGTATTTGTGTCCTGCTTATACATTGTAGACCTCAAGATTTACCAATACATCTATTAAGCAGAGAGAAACGAATAATTACTTTCCATTTTCACACCCAAACAGTTGCTCCTGATGACCCCAGCAGAAGAATAGATGGTGATACCGTAATTTTTTCAAATGTTCAAGAAAGTTCGAGTGCGGTTTATCAGTGCAATGCCTCTAATCAGTATGGATATTTACTGGCAAATGCATTTGTCAATGTGCTCGGTAAGCTCTCCCTTTATGAAAGACATGGCAAATTAAATTAATGACTGCTGTTATTTTCTACTCATTCAGAAAAAGTATAAGGAATAGATGAAAGTGGATAAGGTATAAATCTTGCCCTAAGAATATTACAGTCTGGTCTTAGTGTTCCTTCATAACAAGTTTTTATAATGACACATTCTTTGTTGCAGAAATAATCAGCCAGGCTCTTCCATTCACAGATGGTTGCACTATGTCAAACCCTTCCAAAAGAAAATAACATTTGTCTGCTATTAGCAACTGAATATTATTCCTCTTCCATCCTTAAAAACTAATTAAGTTCAATAACAATTTTATGATTCTGATTTTTTTAAATAAACCACTAATCATAATGTTTGGCTTTCATCCAAGTTGGAGGTATACATTTACTGAATTGATAGAAATATGTTGAGAAAACTTACAACATAGTGAGGTCTCAAGCATATTCTGAAATTGTTGGCTTATGTAAACATTCTATTTCCATTATTAGGGAAAACTACCAAAATATATGTATTAAAATTATGCGAGAATTATATGCAATTATATGTCAACTCTTTAATATTTGTATATGCCCTTTTCAAATAAATTTAACACCAGGAAGCCAACCATATTTGATACTTTTCCTTCATGCTTGAAATGAAGGAGGAGCTAACTAGTTAAGATACTAGTGGAGGTTGAGGAGGCAATTTTGACTTCTGGTTGCATTTTTCAGTCTCTACTTCCATGAGTTGTACTTGTTTAGGTTCCACATGTGTAACTGAGATGATGCAATATTTGTCTTGCTGGGTCTGACTTGTTTCATTCAAAATAATGTCCTCCAGGTTTGTCCATGTTGTCACAAACAGGATTTTCTTCTTTTTAAGGCTGAAAGATTATCTTTCATCTTTTTCTTTTTTTTTTTTTTTTTTTTTGGTTTTTCTCCGGTACCAGGAACCGAACTCACGACCTTGCGCTTGCCAGGCAGGCGGTTTTGCCACTGAGCTAAATCCCCAGCCCCTCTTTCATCTTTTTCATAGTAGTCATTCTAACAAGTGTCAACTCATAGGCAGGTAATCATGGTTAAAGTTTGCATTTTTCTGATGATTAATGATATTGAGCTTTTATTTTTTTTTATATACCTGTTGGTCATTGTATATCATCTTTCGAAAAATGATTATGTAGGTCCTTAATCCATTTTTAAAATCAAGTTGTTGCCTAGTACTATTCATTGAACTCTTTGAGTTCTTTACATATTTTGGATTATTAATCCCCTATTAGATGTACGGTATGTAAATGTTTTCTCCCATTCCATAGGCTGTCTCTATGGTTCGTTGTTTCATAGCTGTGGGAAACTTTTTCGTTCCATCTGCTTTTCAGTCACCAAACTCACTGCTCTACTGCTTTCTGCCAGTTCCTGTGTTCCCCACCATCCCCACCCCCTGCAGTAATGATGGGCCAGTAATTCATTCAATAAAAATCTATTTGGCCATTATTTTTGTGTTAGACACTGTTCTGTAGTTAAAATGATAAAAAGTCACATTCCTGGGTGTTGCAAAGGCCTCAGAGTACTGAAGGAGATACAGATAAGTAAATCAATAATTAGACAATGCCTGAGTAGGATGTTGAACATGAGGTAGATGGAGGGAAACCATGTTTTCTCTACATTGAGTTAGTGGTAAGTCGTACCTGATAGGGAACATCAGAGAAGAGACATGTTCCTGGCAAGCGCAAGGTCGTGAGTTCGGTTACCGGTACCGGAGAAAAACCAAAAAAAAAAAAAGAGAGAAGAGACATGTTGGTTGTACTTTACTATAACACTTAATGATCTTAAATAAAAAGCAGTAAAAACACTATAAACTTAAAATGTGTCCTAATATTTATTGTACCTTTTAAAATGTTTTTTAGCTGAGCTCCCACGAATTCTCACATCTGCAGACACACTCTACCAGGTCATTGCAAACAGGCCTGCTTTCCTAGATTGTGCTTTCTTTGGGTCTCCTCTGCCTACCGTTGAGTGGTAAGTAACGACCTTATGTGTTTTTTAATACTTATATTTGCTAAGCCTTTTCATTTCTAAATATATTGGGCTTTAGTCAAAGACTAAACAGGAGAAATATAGTGCATAACTATCATACTGTCAATTACTGAATACACTCATTTACAAAGCTATATGTAAATGGATTTTTTTTTTTTTACTTTAAGGCTGCTATATTTTATAATGTCATAGATATCACCAGGGACTGTGTGACTAGTAGCTGGAGGAACTGATTGGAAGACTTTCCTTGATAATAAAATATCTTGAGGGATGAGGAAGAGGTTTTGAAAACTCAAACACAGAATTCACTACCATGAATGTTTCCCTTTAGTATCTCTCCCTCCAGACCTTCCTGACTTGGGTCCAGCCAAGCTTTCCGGTGTCCTTTTACTGCCCCCTCAGACTACCCCCTTTTACACACTTCTCCTGGTACAAGTCCTCTACCTGAAGGCTTGATTTAAAGGAGCTGGGCGAGACCAGGCAGGGATAGGCAGCCTGTGAGGAAGGACGAATGAAAGGCAATTGGAGCAGTCATTGGTCATCTATGAGGTTCCAGATGCTGGGCTGGGTTTCAGCTATTTCAGTGAGAATGAACACAGGTTAAAGATGGAAGAAAAGTTTCCCAGTACTGCACCTTAACCACTGAGAAGAGAAACAGGAATGTTTCTGCAGATTTCCTACTTTTGATGACAAGATCAACACTTAGATAATTAACACCTGGCTTTGCCTCATCCCTTATTGTCTGCCTTTACTTCTCCCCTCTGGTATACATGCTTCTTTTCCCCCCTGAATACTTTCCTAGTCATCCTTTCAAAGTATAATCCATACAGCATTGAAATCAAAATTCTTTAAAATTGCAGTCTGTAGGTAGAATTATAAACACACCACAGTTGGATATAAAATGTAAAAAAAAAAAAAAGAGCAGTCTTTGTTCTATGTTGGCACTATTTAGGATAAAAAAGTTAATAGTGGTTTATTAAATATGGGTCTCATAAAAATTGTAACATATATTATGAGCCCAATTCTACAAATACCATTTATTATTGATTTCTCCAGTTTTATGTCTTGTCATTCATCTACCACCTAATATACAAGTATGTAGTGTTTTTGCTTGTACAAATTCCAAGTGTCTTTGTACTTGACACTTTAATGTAGACCATAGTTGTGTTGACCTTGGATGTGACATTTTGTCTGATTTAAATTATGATGTGTCTTATTTTCATCATGTTGGGTAATAAAGGTTTAAAGGAGCTAAAGGAAGTGCTCTTCATGAAGACATTTATGTTTTACATGAAAATGGAACTTTAGAAATTCCTGTGGCCCAAAAGGATAATGCAGGAACCTACACATGTGTTGCCAGGAATAAATTAGGGGTGGCGAAGAATGAAGTTCACTTAGAGATCAAAGGTAATAATTTTTTTTTTCAAGTGTTATGTGACTTTGAGCAAATTCTCCAGATTTACCAATGGATAATAACTTTGAACTTTAGATCCAACAAGGATCATTAAACAGCCGGAATACGCAGTTGTACAGAGAGGGAGCACAGTGTCCTTTGAATGCAAAGTGAAACACGATCACACCCTAATCGCCGCTGTCACGTGGCTGAAGGACAATGGTGAGCTGCCCAATGATGAAAGGTATTTGAAGACAATTTCTTTTTTTTGTCTTTCTCTCTGGAAACTGTTCTTGAGCTAAAGTTTGATTGTGTAGTGACTTAACGGTGGTGCTTTAGTTTCTGAAGTCTGCTGTCTGTAAAATAAAGAGGTACATTTTTTCTTCCTACGGTAAAATGCTGGAACCTAAGAGACTATCGAGTGATTGAAATAAGACCCTGAGAATGTTTGTCTTTCTTTGTGTGCTGTTCTGTGTAATTTAGGATGGGGAAAAACCCTTCAGGCTTTGGACAGCATCCATATTTTTGCACCTTGAACAGTAAAATCTCAACAGATGTTTTTATTCCCATTCTACAAATAAGCAGAAATACGATCTCTTTAATTATCAGAGTGTACCTGAATCCTTGCCAGTATTTTAAAAGACACTTGTTTTTATTTGGATAGTGAGTTTTCTTTTGATTTTACCCAATGCCAGTAGAAGGGGAAGGAAAAACAAAAACAAAGCATTTAAAAGAGTTAGAGCATTTTGCAGTCCCTTAGCTTGCAATGGAAGGAAAGTCACAGCATTTTCCAGCAAAGCCCTCAATTTGACACCGTCAGCATAGCAGGTACACAGAGTTGGATGTATGATTTCAGCAATCACAGTAGCTACACACCCCATACTAGAAAGAGTGATGTATCTTGGTGAAAATGGTTTCTGTGGTTTGCTACCAGCTCACCTAAACTTTTGGTGACTAATGGTTCCCTGTTGCTTGTTCATGGCCCCAAAAGTACTTTGTGGCCTTCCCCTCTATGTGCCCATAGTTCTGTCTAGGACTATGCCTCCACTTATTTGTGGAATCTGAGTTGATAAAGAGGAGAAAGAAGTATGAAGAAATGACCATCAGGTTAAGTCAGTTGAGCTGTAACTTGGAAATCACCTGGGATGACAGCTTACGATTTATGCAGCTTCATTAAAATCATACATGAATCCTGCATGCGTGTCTTTGGACCCACTGAGCAGTTGTTCATGTCTGCAGATCATCCCTGGAAAACTCTGAGTAGAAACTGTTGATCTGAATCTGCCTGTTTCTAGTGATAAAACGATTACTACTGTTTGCATTTACTTTCTCCTATGAGACTTCATGCCTATCACAAAAACTGAGATGAAATTTTTGCAGTAAATAATAGTTTATTTAAAAATATACACTGTGATAGAAAACTGAGCTGAATGAATAGCTTTCAAACATTTCTTAGCAGCAGAATAATAGACAAAGCACTATAGTAAGGGTATATAAATAAAGCACCATAGTAAGGGTAACTGTGGAGCTGCCCCCACCTCACCTCAGGATGCTCCTAGGGCTTTTTATTAAAAACATTCATTTTATTTTTTAATTGACGCACAGTAATTGTGCACATGTATGGAGCACCATATAATGTTTGCTCCGAGCACTTTAAGGAAGTGGAATGACTCCAGAGGTCTGGTTGGAAACCATTATACTCAGTATCCTTCCTACCCCAAGATTCTCATTCATTCAAATTGTTTTCTGACTTTAATTGTTATTAAAGTTAAATGTGTGTATATACATTGTATAGGATTTTCACCCCACTTTGCTGAACTGTATATCATCCTCTTCTTTCGGCAAGTTCACGGCTTTTTCCTGCCGGTCGGGGTGTCGTTGGACGCCCATTCCGGCTGCTCTGAGCTGGCTCTGTTCGCAGGTTCACTGTTGACAAGGACCACTTGGTGGTAACGGACGTCAGAGATGACGATGGGGGGACCTACACGTGTGTGGCCAACACGACTCTGGATGATGTTTCGGCCAGCGCCGTGCTCAGTGTTGTTGGTAAGAACGGGAGCAGACCTGACACGTCCAACTCGCCTGGGTTAGACTGAAAAGGAGACAAAGTAAATATTAAATGTCTCATAACTATAACATGCATGGGTTAGTACCTTTACTCTCTCCTTTAAAAAATGCCTTGGAGGTGATCATTTCAGTGTACCTATGCTGTGTATCAGACTAGGGTAAAATGGTATATCTGTACATTAGAAACATTTTTATAAAAAAATTGGGGGAAATCTATTTTTATTTGAAATGAAGAATTTTTTAAAATTCCAAAGTTGCTATTGCCTGTTTATCAGTAGTATGTCTCATAGCTAAGCATAGGGCTTAATTTTATAACCTTAATCATGTACAGTCTTTGTCTTCTTATGCTATCGTGTATCTTTTCATTACTAATTTTGATTAAAATCCTTTATATTAATGTCCTTTCTAGCTCCTACTCCAACTCCAGCTCCCATTTACGGTAAACTAATATGAGCCTTCTTTCTTTATTTTCTGTCAAGCAGTTTCATATTTGCAGAAAAAATTACTTTCTTTTCTCTATCACATTATTGTGTTTCTTTAAGGAAAAGGACTCTGTCAATTGTTACGCTGTGTCCCTCATTTACTGCAATAAATCATTTCTTCATTATAACTTTAGAATTTTCCACTGAGTTTACTGCCCATTGTTTCACATATTTCATGTGCTATTATTAAGTCATTCCATTTGATAAAAGTCCCTCTTTGATACAACCTCCTTGTATCAATGTGCTTTATCAAAAGCCAATATCCATATATTACAGAATGAAAAATTGATTTCTTGTATCATTCTGCTAATTAGATTTTACTTCAATCTACTAAAATTTGTTTTGGAAAAATAATGTTGTTTGGGGACTCCATTTGCAAGAAATTTATACAGAGGGGAAAAATGAACATTTAAAACAACATGTAAAAAAATGTAACTTTTATGTCAGACAAAACTCACTGCGTGTTAGCAAAAATGAAGTCACTGAAGAAAGACCAAAAGGAGGGGCGCATCAATGTTGTGTGACTTTTCTGTGACTGGAAAATAAATCACTAATTATTTCCAGCAAGCTTTTTGTTTAGAAACATCTCATGTGTTATTCAGCACATAAATACAAAAATTACTTTTATGGCATAATCTCATCTTCATGTTATATAGTATCAGTAATTATTATGTAGAAAACCTGTCCTTTGTAGACATTTACTGCTTCATTATTGATGAGAAAGAAGAAAGACCTCATGTATTTATATGGCCTCTAGTCCCTGATGAGCCAGAGATACCTCAGAAGTAAGGTCAAAACAAAGGCCCGGGGAGAGAGTTAACTCTGTGCATCTCAGAAGCGCTATTTGATGAAGCAGCTCTGCTTCTGCTTACCTGTGTTCCAAAAGGTGTCTAAGAGTAAACACACCTAAGCATGCTGAGGTCTACCTACATATATATATTCATATATATAATATTTACAATATTATATACATTTTCCTTCAGGAGTCCCACAATCTATCATTCAGCATGTTTCAAAAAGAACATTTGAATCTTCTTGAAACAGTGCATTTTATTTACCTGTATTTGTTTTCCAGCCTTTTCTGTTCTATTCTATTCTAATCCCATGGATTAGAAATCACGTTTTGGTTTATCTTTATGTCTGTGACTGTCCATGTTTTGAGACGCACTGAGAGCGCTGATGAACCGCACAGGCCTGCCTCACTGGTTTGGTTACACATGATTTCACTGCACTTGAGAAGCGAGCAAGCAGAACTCATTGATGGGTTACCCTGAGTGCATGCGTGCGTCCCAGCACCCTCAGTGGCTCCCATTTCATTTCTGTTGCATGCTCATTGACTGTTAAGTGTGCCATGTCTTTAAAATGTACCCTCTGTGAAAATATCACAAAGATGAACCTCTTAAGAATGGATAATTAACCATGATGTGTGTGTTTGATCTACAGATGTCCCCAATCCTCCCTTTGATTTAGAATTGACTAATCAACTGGACAAGAGTGTTCAGCTCTCCTGGACCCCAGGAGATGACAACAACAGCCCTATTACAAGTACGTGGTGTTACTTGCTTTATCATTGATAAACTGAGTGACCATTTTTTGCGCACTTCATAATATGCAACCTCAATTCCTCACAAATGTATTTACTGACATTCTCTGTCTCATTACTGATAGAACAAAAATATTTATTTATGTCTGTCCTCAGAGATGGTATTATTTCTGGTTACAGCCTCTAGAATAGGACACTAGTTGATGGCTAAAGATACTCATTCAGCAAATACATGACTATCATTTGTGTATTTAAGAATCACCTTAAATTTCTACTAGAGGTAAGGAGATCTGTCTTAAGTTAGCTATTTATTTTGCTCATTACTTCTGGGAGAAAAGGGTAGGAGAAACAATGCTGAAAGGTCCTATTATTTATATATCAAAAAACTGAAACTTGGTAACAGAACTGAATTAGGTCCTAAGGAATGAAATTAAATGAGAGAGCAGGCCATTAGGACACTGGGAGAGCCTAATAAGTTAGAATAAACGTAAACCCAGAAGTTTAACTGTAAAATTAAAGAGATAGTTAAACGAGCAGGCACAGTCAGTCGTTAGCCAGAACTCTAGCATTTCCTTCAGGTGTAGACTGCAGGAAGATTGTCTTCTGAAGAAAGCTTGAGATTATTCCAAATGATGGATGTGTTGGTTTGTACCTCCAGGCAAAGCAGAATATTCCCAAGAAAACCAACCAAATGCTTGCCTACCGTGGACTTGGTGGTGGCCCTTTCTTACCTAACCCTGCAGTGTCCTGCCTCAGAGCAGGCCGAATCTCCCTGCTAATCCAGCACATTAGGTGGAGCTGGCTGGTCAGCATGCTTAGAGACTCTTATGCTCTACATTCAAATGATACCATTAGGTTTCAAGGCATTTCTGCTCCATTTATTCACTCATTCGCTGGACAGAACTTATTGAGTGCCAATTATATGCCACAGATTGTTCTAAAATAAGATAATAAAAACAGTCTCTGCTCTTATAGAGGCTGTATGTTAGATTAGGACAAAGATATAAAATTATGACATTATTGCACATACTGTCGTACATTGTTTACACAAATACATGAGTATACATACACAGACACACATACACATCCACAGAGACATTGGTCAGTCTACCATTCAGGGAGAGCCTGTGGCAAGGAGTATTAAATGACAGCCCTTCCCTTAGGAAGGGAACCGGCAGTGTACGCAGGAGGCCACATGTGCCCTGGATATTCCAGTAACTGGACACAGCAGGGTCCTTGAGCTCAGCTATCCCTACTGCAGAGTTCTCATCAAGGGCACTTTACTCTAGGGCTCTTTCTTGACCTGACGGAGACTATTCAGAACTATTGTGCTGTCTGTGTCTTTTCCTGCACACTCCAATTTCCTTTCCCTCTCTCATTATGGGATTTTCCTTCAAAGTAAACTAATTTGCTTTCGGCTGCTTTTGATTATCCTGTTAGTTATCACTGACTAGCAATCTACCCCGGGTTGACTACATTCGCTGTCTTGGGTTTGTTGTGTATATTGTGGCCAGAATTCATCATTGAGTATGAAGATGCTATGCATGAGGCAGGGCTGTGGCACCACCAGGCTGAAGTTTCTGGAACGCAGACCACAGCCCAGCTGAAGCTGTCTCCATACGTGAACTACTCCTTCCGGGTGATGGCCGAGAACAGCATTGGGAGGAGCCTGCCCAGCGAGGCCTCTGAACAGTACCAGACCAAAGCCGCAGGTAAAGGGGGACTTCAGGGACAGGAAACAAAATGGAAAAGTTTTCCACCCTTTGCCAAGGAGCCAAGCTTACACATATATGGCTGTTTAACTTCTAGAACCAGATAAAAACCCCACGTCTGTGGAAGGATTGGGATCAGAGCCTGATAATTTGGTGATTACGTGGAAGGTGAGCTCTAAAGTCTTGAGCTTTCCCTTGTCATTTTTTGAGTGAAAAAAATTGTCCTAAAATAATATATGCATGAAACCCCATTTCACCCATTTCTAGGGGGAAATACGTCTTTATTTAAGAGGCAGTATTAGGTAGTAGGTAATGCGTTTGATCTCTGGAGCCAAAAGGAATAAATACAAATCCCACCTCTGCTACTTACAGTGTGATCGTAAGCCAGTTGTTGAACATTTGTTGAGCATCTCTATGAAGAGAACAATAATAGAGCCAGCTTCATACAACTAGAGGGGTTAATGCATATAAAGCAGCTATAATAAGGCCTATTTGTGCTCAAAATATGCTAGAGGGTGTTATCATCACACAGAACCTCCTGGAAGACATGCATCAAGCTATTCCCAGTAGTCAACTTATTTATTACTATTGTTGTTATTATTTGGCCTATCTATATTTTCTGGATTTGGAAAATTAACATATATTTACTTGTATGCTTTAAAAATGTATCTTAGAGCCAACATGCTTACTTATATGTACACATATATGTATATAGTTATAGTATACATATATATTTATAAATGCACTATCAAGTTAGAGTAATAGGCCAACTTTTTTAATAAGGAAAGAAATAGTTCATAAATTTCAGTCTTCAAGTAAAATGGACAAGATGTACTATCACACAAACAGGAATGCATAAAAGAATCTAAATAATGAGAATGTTTTTAGGCTCACTCACCTTTACCTACACAGACAGATTTTGAAAGGTTTGTGTGGTATTCACTGCTTTAAGGTAGTAATTTACAACCTTTGAAATGTTAATCCCTAAAAAGCTTTGAATCTCATCATAAATGAGCAAAGATAAGAAGTCCCTGGAGAAAATGGTTAATAGCATGTATTTTAGGGTTTCAGTGCCCACTTTCTTTAGGCCTGGGAGTTGGACTTACTGTTTCTGTAAAAGGATGTATAGTCAATGTGTTTTATAGCCTTGGGTTATTTGGCTTTTCTTTAGCCTTTGAATGGTTTCGAATCAAATGGGCCAGACCTCCAGTACAAAGTGAGCTGGCGTCAGAAAGATGGCGATGATGAGTGGACATCTGTGGTTGTGGCAAACGTATCCAAGTATATTGTCTCTGGCACACCGACCTTTGTCCCATACCTGATAAAAGTTCAGGCCCTGAATGTTGTGGGGTTTGCTCCGGAGCCAGCTGTAGTCATGGGACATTCTGGAGAAGACCGTAAGTGTCTCATGCCATTCCCTCTCTGCTTTTCCCCAGCAGGACGACCTGCCAAGGTACAAACCAAGGCTATTTCCAGAGGTGCTTAAGTTTGCAAGGGATGGAGGCAGCAACTATATTTGCAAACTTTTCTAAATTTAAACAGCATGCCATGCAAGAAACAGAGATGATTCAGGGTTGGAGCATAGCTAAGTGGTAGAGTTTGCCTGGCATGAACACATTCTAGGCTCAATCCCAGCACCTCAAAAAAGTAAGAAATAGAGATTCAGAATATTAAAGAGATTATCTTAAAAAAAAAAAAAAAAGTTGTGCTCATAAAGTTAAAGGAACAGTTAACCAAAAAAAGAAAGGAAGGAAAGGAGTAGGGAAGGAAGGAAGGAAGGAAGGAAACTCTGCAGTCAACCCTTAATAAGCCATAGAATATGATTCTATAGAATAGGAGGCTGGAGCATTCTTCAAGTAAAGATTATTATAGATAGTGATATTTGAATGAAATTTAAAATTACATTGATTCTTCTATCCCCTGCCCTGTCCTTTCCGCAGTCCCAATGGTAGCTCCCGGAAATGTGCGTGTGAGTGTGGTGAACAGTACCTTGGCTGAGGTGCACTGGGACCCGGTGCCTCTGAAAAGTATCCGAGGACACCTGCAAGGCTACCGGGCAAGTAAAGGGCATCATATCACATTTTTCCTTAGTAACAGGGCTTTGACGAATGCCACTTGTCACACACACCATATATGAGGTTGGAGTAATGTTGCTCCTCTCTTGATGAACTCTTTTTTTTTCATTTTAAAGAGAAAAGAAAACAGAGTAACAGCAACCAAGACAAAAACAAAACAACACAAAAACAATAAAAATGATGCAAAATTTCAAAACAAGATGATAGGAAGTTAACAATGGTTGTTACATTACATATTTTATCTTCAACGAAGTTGCTTAGATTACCAGAAGTAAGAATGCAAGATTGATCAAACATAGAGAATAAAAAATAATTAAAAAACCCTTTTAGACACTATAGAGTTTCACTAATCAAGATAGTAGGGATTCAATAATGGTTGTTATACTGTATATTGTTGTCTTCAAATTAGTTGTTCAGATTACCAGATATAATCATGTAAAATTGGTCAGAAAAGAAAAATTTAAACATTAACTGTCCTTTCAATAAACCAATAAACATCAGCAGAACAATTATCCAAGCTACTCTTGTGTATCCATATATATTTTTCCCTTCTTTCTTTTCTCCTTTCCCTCATTCAAATTGTTCCTTCCCTTTGAGCAACTTCTTTCCCTTTCACAATATCTATTGTACCTTTTGGGTTTTATTTATTCTTTCAGGTTCTTACACTAGGGAGACAATACGGAGTTTACACATGTGGGTCTGATTTATTTCACTTATAAGTATGGTCTCTAGTTGCATCCATTTTCCTATAAAAGCCTCAAGTTTATCTTTTTTATATCTGAGTAATACTTCATTTTATAAAAATATCACATCTTTTTTATGTGTTCCTCAGCTGATGGGCATTGGGTTGTTTCTGAGATTTAGCTATGACAAATTGTGCTGCTATAAACATGGGTGCACATATATCGCTGTGGTATGATCTTTTCAGTTCTTCTGGAAAAATACCTAGAAGGGGAATAGCTGGGTGGAATGGGACCTCTAATCCTAGTTTTCTGAGGAATCTCCACACTGATTTCCATAGTGGTTGTACCAGTCTGCACTCCCACCAGCAGTGGAAAAGGATTCCTTTTTGCCCACAGCCCCTCCAGACTTTGTTATTGGTTGACTTGATGATGCCATTCTTTCTGGGGTGAGATGGAATCTCAGTGTTGTTTTAATTTGCATTTCTCAAATGACCAATGATGTTGAACATTTTTTCATATATTTGTTTGCCATTTGTATTTCTTCATCTGAGAACTGTGTTTTCATCTCTTGATGAACTCTTGATATCGAGTTCATTTGTTTCTTGCCTCAGGCAGATTGACATCTAAAGAACCCCGGCTAGAGGTAATTTGAAATGTTACTCATTCAAAATGAGAAAGGAGGGGGCTGGGGATTTAGCTCAGCGGCAAAGCGCCTGCCTGGCAAGCGCAAAGTCGTGAGTTCGGTTCCTTGTACCGGAGAAAAACCAAAAAAAAAAGAGAAAAGAAATGTTTTCTCCATTTTTTTTCACAGATCATCTAAAATTCTGTGAACTAAACAGTATGTGTACAAAATGAGGAAAACTAATTTTTAAAGAACTAAAGTATAACAAATTGCACTTAGCTTTAAGGTAATATGGACCACATGTGCTGAACATACAAAGCTATCCTAATAATATGGACATTCAAAAAATAATTCAGATTATGTTTATGTATCCCCAACTGCATCATTTTTATGAACATCAGTTATGAACATCAATTAGCTTTGCTTTTGGTAAGCACAGAAAGATTGATTCAGAGATTTTTGATTGACAAACATCCAAAGAACTGCACCCCATGTGCACAAACATACTACCTTAATTTGTTAAAACTAACCTCTCTAGGTCACTTACAATACTGCATCATTGGGGCCCCGATAGTGGCCACATTTTGGGTATGAGTTCACTTCTCCTGAAAAATACCCTGTCCATCTCTCCAAAACCTGCACCTATAATATAATACAAAAATAAGTATGTTTAATTAAGTGATACAGACAGGCTTAGTGGAAAAGCCCTACAATGCAGTGGAGGCTCCTCTGTAGCTTTGGAAAAGCCACTGACGAGCCCAAAGGCTCACTTCTACCATAGGAATAATAATAAGAAAAGCCTCACTGTGGTATTTAAAATTAGCTAAATGATATAGTATATGTGAACATGTAGTTAACATTGGGCAGTAGTTTTATTTTTAGAATCTTTTATACATGTAAAAGACTTCAATCCTTTTTGCTGTCATCCATTTGCCTTGTGTTCTGGAGAGAACCATATGGATCTCTTATTTATTTCACCCACACTCCTCCAACAGAATAGTATAGCCCAGCTTTGTCATGTTATCTTAATTTCCTCATTATCTGTGGGCTTCTAATCCTCTTGCTCAGAATCAGTATCCACCTGTTTGGCAACTAGTTTTCTTTTAAAATGCAGCAAGGGAATTTTCTGGGAAAATGACTGTTTTAGGTTGTTAACCTGAAGAACCTTGTGTGTTCCCTTGTGCATCCCTGACTTCAGTTCTTGCTGTTCCAGATTTACTACTGGAAGGCACAGAGTTCTTCCCTAAGAAACAGACGGCACATTGAGAAGAAGATCCTCACCTTCCAGGGCAGCAAGACCCACGGCATGCTGCCCGGGCTGGAGCCCTTCAGCCACTACACGCTGAATGTCCGTGTGGTCAACGGGAAGGGGGAGGGCCCGGCCAGCCCCGACAGAGCCTTCAGCACTCCTGAAGGAGGTACGGAGTGAATGTGGCTCTGAGATCCAGGAACACATGGCCTGGCCTGGGAGCCTGTGTGTGACAGGAGGGCCCTCCTGGTAAAGTATATTCAGAGAGTCCAGTGTGATCTTCCCATAGAGGAACATATCACATACAAAGCTGGGAAAATGTCATTCACATGTGGCAGCCTAAAGGTATATTGGAGGCTTTAGAACCCAAAATGCTGCCCTAAAACACCCTTTCCTTTCACTTAAAATTTTTTTCCCCACTGCTGAACTTACATTTATTCAAGTCTTTAGTTTTCTGACCCAAGGCGCGTTCATTCTGTAGCTTCTCTATGCCTCAGTGGCCTCGTCTGAAAAGTGTGAGAACTAAATGGGATACTTAAGAAGGCCTGGAAACAAATATTTCTGAGAGGTAGCTGACCACTGCAGCTTCTCTTCCCACGTGCTTTCATCATTTGTTACAATGCTGAGCTGAGGTAGAAGGTTGGCAGTCTTGACCTAATGGGTTGGGAAGGAAAAAGTGTTATAAGTACAGTATGGCCACTGCAGGAGGTAGCAAGGAAGACTCAGCAATACCTTGGTGGAAGAGTTTGGGCAAAACAGACACAAGAGTTTGGGTGAGGGAGAATGGGGGCCATGAGGTAAGGTAGAGATTTTTAAAAGGCACTAAAATGGTCTTTCGCTGTTTGGAACTTTACACCATCCAGCCATGATGATGGGGCAGATCCCTTCTGTGGAATTCTTCGGTCTTTTTGTTGAAAGTAGTTCACAAACACACCCTGTCCTGGCCCCTGGTTAAGGGTGGGCTGGCTCACGAGGCTGGTGGCTGCTCAACAGCCCCAGTTCTAGCTCTTGACCTCAGTCTCATTACTGCCTGGAGGGTCAGGCTTCTCCCACTGGAGGCTTTCATCAGTGAGGCCACACTGGTCCTGTGGATGGCTCAGAGGGTTAAGATAAAGAAGAGAGGAAGTGGTTGTCTGAAGACACGAACGTATTGCAGGTCCAGGCAAAGGAAGGGAAGTGGTAAGGGACAGGCAGGGGAATGGCTATCTTTGGAATTAAGGAGGTGGAATTGTGTCCCAGAAGACAGTGGAAAGAGCAGAGGGAGAAGTCCAAGTTGACCCCTTGGTTTCTGGCTAGAGTGAAGAAGGACAGTGATATCACTAATGAGTTTCCAGGGAACATGGTAGGGTATCTGGTGACTGAGGAAGAGCTGCCCCCGGCCGTGACCCTCATAAGGAAGTGAATAAAAGACCAGGTTTGTTTCCCTGGCAATTTGCCAGCTTCTGCCATGGAAAACCTAGCCCCGCCCCCCACCCCCAGGCCTTCTCCAGAGCCTCAGGTTTGCCAGCGCTGGGGCTCTTGTCTTTTACCCCCAGATACTGTGCAGCTGTCAGCTCTTGAGATATGAATGGCTCTGCAACTGGGCAACTGGCCAGGGCCCAAGGCCCAGCAGGCAGGGTGTTCTTGCTGTTTGGAGACACCTGGTTTGTTGGGGAGAACTGCTTGATGGCCCAGAACACAGCTGCTTCCACTCAAAGGTCTGGTTAGAATGGTTCACTTAATACTCAGCTTGCTTTTACTTGGACACTATTTATAAATCAATTCTTGTCTGCTTTAAATGTATTTAATTTGGGTCCATAGAAAGGCAGTCTTTATGTATTTTGAAAGGACGGTTTTAATAAATTTAAAAGGAAATGGTGACAGAAGACGAGAATAAACTGGTTCCTGCCACAGATTTGTATTCATGTATTTTCAGTAGCATCCAGAGCAAGTCACTGAAAACCAAATCTTTGATCAGTTGTATAAATGTGGCAAAATATGTCTCTTCACTATATTTTGAATACTTAGAAACTTGTATTAACTACATGTTCTCATTGAAGTCCCCAGTGCTCCCTCATCTTTGAAGATTGTGAATCCCACACTGGACTCTGTCACTCTGGAATGGGATCCACCAAGCCACCCAAATGGCATTTTGACAGAGTACACCCTAAAATATCAGCCAAGTAAGTTATTGGAAGAAGGGGAAGACAAATGCAGAGTTAAAAATAAAACTTTACTGTTAGCTAAAACACAAGCTTGTTCTTTCTTTGTATTTGTCGAATCTATACATATGCCTTCAAATATTATTCCAAAATATTTTAAAATAATAAAATAAATAAAAGAATATTTTTAAAAGAAAATAAATCAAATAAAATCTTTTAAAAGGAAAACAATATATATGCTACTGAAAATTAAGTACTATGTACAATATGCAGACTTTTGAAAGTCTGGCATTTAGGAGAACCCTCTCATTAAGTTAGGTGGGCATTATCTGTAAATAGAAAATGCCAAGATGAGGTTCCTTTGTCACAATACTATTAAAGGAAAGGTTTGAAGTTATTTAACAATACCGTATATGGCTCCACCTGCAAAAGCAGAGAAAAAAATACTATTGTGATTCAATCATAAAATTCCCCTAGTTTATAAGCAAATGGAGAATATATTCCCCCCTTGCTGTGTTATGTTATATTATGTTGTATATTTGAACATTATAGGACCTGTATACGGTTATCAGTTATGTTAAGTGAAGAATGAGCAGGATTATAAATCATTTGTGTCAATTTTTGGTTGACACAAATATTTACAATATTCTTGTTGTAATTAATGAAGAATGCACTTATTTATTATTTCTTATTCACAGTAAACAGCACACATGAATTAGGCCCTCTGATAGATTTAAAAATTCCTGCCAACAAGACACGCTGGATTTTAAAAAATTTAAATTTCAGCACTCGGTATAAGTTTTATTTCTATGCCCAAACATCCGTAGGACCAGGAAGTCAAATTACAGAGGAAGCAATAACAACTGTGGATGAAGGTAAGATGGGTATGTATGAAATTCATACAATTATAAGTATCCTGAAATAAAAATCTTTAACTTTAGTGTGTTTTCTCTTCCTACTTACCATGGAGTATCCATCTTACCTACACAAATACTTATTTGTAATATATATATATATATATATATATGTATACATATATATATTCTCAATATATAGTAAAATCAGTTATTTAGTTTATATTGGAATGACTTTTTGGTATTTTTTCAATTCCATGTGAGATTTTAAAACTTATATTAAAATATTAGAGTAGAAGTGAGAAAATATATCTACCACACTTGAATTTAAAGTCCAAGGCAATGTTTTTTCTGTACATAACTTTATACACATATACACATATTGACTCATATAATGAACACATGTATGAACACACAGACATATATAATTACATAATTCTACTTATGGTCCTAATTCACCAAATATAATTTGCCAGTCCATGTATTGGTTAATGTTTTCTAGTAAAACATCAAAATAGTCACTAAAGAGTACATTTATTTTGTGTTAGAATAAGGAGCCTTATATTTTGGTATGTCATCTGTTACAGAGAAACCAGAATAACCTCCGTAAGTATTCATACTTTTAAAAAGCATCCTGAAATGTTTAGATTCAATGAAAATTATCAAAAATATTGTGAAAAACTTTCTGGTTTTGCATGTCTCTAAACTGTAAAATTGTTTAAAGATTATTCGTCCGATTATCTTCCATGACATTTCAATGTAAAATTTGGTTCAAAATATATTTAAGTCTTCTTATATACTAGATAATGAATAATGCACCTTAAATAATATGTGGATTTGAATATTGGAGAAGTTTGGGGACACTGACATATTTTTGTCCCCTGTACCTGATGTGGTACCCTCATTTTTCTTGCATGCCTTAGCATTTTAGTAAGTGTTTTCTTGTATCGCTATACATGCTCATGGGTGTGTTACATCTAACTATATAGTGTCCTATTTCTGTTTCCCTTCATCAAAGCTGGTATTCTTCCACCTGATGTAGGTGCAGGCAAAGGTAAAATAACTCATCTGCATGACTTTATACATGTATGAATATGCAATGTTAAATGTGGGGAAGTGCAGCATGGGTAAAAAAGAGAAAATAAAATATGCTTGGAACCACCAAAAGGAGAAGATCTTGGCTGATCATGGCTTTTAAATTAATTTTTAGTCGTTTGTACAAGTAGCAAGCACAGATTGAATTCTCCAAAAAAATTTTTGTCAAGACTTATATCCTTGGTGCAAATCCTAATCTTAGCTTTTAATGATATGATTTTGGCTCAGTCAGACAAGACCAAAACTCTCAATTTGTCACAGATCCTCTGTATGGCCGTGCCACATGTCAGGAGTTCAAAACTCTTAGTCCTGTTATGAAAACAGCCCATGGGAAACTAAATCAACTGAGCTTCCCCTTGTAATTGGATTTAGCCGCACTCCTCGTACATACAGTGTACACCCTCCTGGCACTACACAACACTGTCCATTTGAAATTTCAGTGTAACACCCCAGAAGTGATTTGGTAGGTCTTTGCCCATCAGTGACTCATGTTCCAGTTAGCCTGCATGCTTTGCTCAGCTGTGTTCCTCCACCCTGTCTCCACCAGACTGCTCAAGCCTTCCCCTTCTGAGTCATAGGCAACAGCAGCTCTTTGTGTCAGAAGGACTTTTGGAAGCATGGTGCTTGATAAGTTGTAAGATGTCTTCTGCCTGTGGCAATACCAGAGAGCCCCCAGTCTCTGACCCACTCTGGGCTATCGGTCAGCCACTCAGAGCAGCAGAGCCCCTGCCCCTGGCTTTTTGAGGGAAGTGTGTCACAGTCAGGGCTTTTCTTGGGCTTTGACAGAGCAAATCCTCACTCTTCAAACAAGAGTGAAGAACAGAAGACCAAGAACAGCAAGAGTTTTGCCTTGAATTATTCAACTCTTGTGAGTTTAGGCTTGATACATTTTTTCTGTTTTCTTAGAAATTTGCTTATAGTCAGAGCCTTGCTAAATTGTAAAATGTACACATGACAGGGCTGGGGATTTAGCTCAGCGGCACAGTGCCTGCCTGGTAAGCGCAAGGTCGTGAGTTCGATTCCCAGTATCGAGAAAAAAAAAAAAATGTACATACGACAGTATGATTAAATAAAACTGTTCTCCCCCCTTTTTTTTTTAGTAATCTTGTTCCTACTCTTTTTCTTTTCTTATTGGTTAGACAAATTATCGACTTCCATTTTGGCAGACTTGTACATACACTTAAAGTGTCTTGACCATTTTCACTCCCCCAGCACAACAGTTGTGCTGCCCTTCTCCCTTAGTTTCACATTTTTGGGGGAGAGGGTTAATCTTAATAATATTATAGTTGCGTTTTTGACTTAAAAGGACAAAGTTGGAAAAGTTCAAATTTTCTACAAAATATTGTAGAAATATGTAAAAGATATTTTGTATGTATGCTTCTTTTTATGGGTTAGGTATCAGCTAAAATCATGGGTCATTTTACAGTGACTCCGTGGAAGGCCTGCAGTGAGCTGGCTTCCTGTCCTACCTGGTGCACAGTGTCTCCACAGTGTGCCAAGGCTGGCAGGGACACTCCTTCAGCAAGGCTGCTGCAAAGCAGTCTGCATGTTCTGCTGACAGGGCAAGGCAGGAGAGGACTTGAGTCCCCCAGAACAACCATCACCTCCTGTTCTTGATAAACTAAAACTAAAAGAAATCTTTCTTAGGTGTAGGTTCTACCATTTGAGATTACTGAATTGAATTATGAATTATTTATGATTGTAGAACAAGAAAAAATGAAGTATCTAAAAGTTCATCAATTCCCCAATATAAAATCTGACAGATTTCAGATGAGAAGAGGAATAATGTTTAAGAAAAAGAAAAAGCTAAATCTGACCTCATTTTCAATATTGTTTCTTCTCATAGTGCAACATTAGCCAAATTTTTCTTACATAAAATAATAATATTTTCCCATGGTAAGATTTAAACTGATCAAGCATAATTTGTAATCTTGGGCTTTTTTTCTTCCATATTTTTTTCAGTCTAATAATGATTAATTTGTTTGTTTGATTCAAGCCTTTAATATTTATGTAAGATTTATAGTTATTTGGATATATTTGTTAAATTTCTATGGCTCTAAATAATTTCAGAGTCTGAGGTTCTGGAACTAGGTCAGCAAAGGGATCTATCAAAATGAACCAAAACATGCCAGTAATTGACTTGAGTTATGCTCCCAGTATTCCTGATGGATCCTATTACTTTACCTTTGAAATTTGACTCTGGGCCCTTGAGAGAAACCATCAGGACCCTTTTTTAGGATAGCTAACCTGGATAGAAGAAGGTAAGATTAACTAGTAAGGTAGGGGCAGAATCTGCATTCTTGACCTTATAAGCAACCTACTGTGGGCAACCAGTTAGGACTGAGCAGAAAAGGGCCCTGAGAATCTTCCAATGCTGAGTCCTCCCATGAGCTGACTCTCACTAGATTACTTTACTAATGTAAATAAGCAGGAAACAAAAATTTCAAACTCACAGTTCCCATCTTTATTTAGTCTGAATAACACCAACAACAAAAACTACATAGAAGCCTAGAAGTTTCAACCAGTTCAACAACTAATGTCTCCCTGGCACGTAAAATGAAGTAGCCTTTTTTTTTCTTTTTTAGGATACTGTGTATCAATATAGTAAAACTGTCCCTGCTTTCTTTTTTTTCTTTTTTTTTTTTTGCCTTTTTTGAGACAGGGTCTCGCTATGCATTTCAGGCTGGCCTTGAGCTCGCTTTGTAGCCTAGGCTAGTCTCAAACTCACAGCAATCCTCCTGCCTTAGCCTCCCGAGTGCTGGGATTACAGGTGTGCACCACCATGCCGGGCTTGTCCCTGCTTTTGACATGCTTTAAATCTGGCAAGGAAGAGATGCTAAACTAGTATTGTAAACAAAATGCTATTTGCACGTAGAACAGTGAACTATTTATTTTGCCAAACAAGATCAGGGAAAGCCGCCCAAAGAAAATAATATTAAGACAGGCCTTGAACCCTGTGTATTTTGGCAGCTGAATCAGGAATTGGAGTAAGTCTTGGTAAGGGCATAAGCAAAAAGGCCAGGGTTGGAAAGCACACAGAATGTGTGAGTAATCCAGCTTGGCTGCAGAGTAGAGTGTGAGGAAAAGAGAAGTCCCTGAGTTGGGACTGGAGCAGCAGGTGGGGCTGGATGGGCAGCTGTGAATGCCTTGCTAAGTGATTTGTATTTACCTCTAGGCAGAGGTTAGCTGTCCACATCTTTAACAGGGAGGAGTCTGGGTCAGATTTGTAGCTTAGGAAGCTAAAATACAGTAACTCCATACACTGCTGGGTGTCTATAGAGAAAGACTCACAGTAGGGAGAGGCAGACAGTGGGAGATGGCTGGGGAAGCCCTGATGAGTAATGCCATAAGGGTCCCCTTGTCTGCCGCATCATAGGGGGCAGCTCAAGGGGTGTTTGCTCAGTGAGTAAGCGAGCAAGTGGGGATTAAAGCCGAGGAAGATGGAATTCTCTATGATAAAACTAAATCATAAATCTTATCTGGTTGCCTTTAAAGATAAGCTAAGTGCAAATTTACAGCACACAATACTTTAGTACTAACTATAGTGTATAATACATTAGATCTCTAAAAATAGTCATCTTATACTGAAAGTTTGAGTTATCCATCCTATTCTAATCCTAGCCCCTGGTGACCACCATAATACTCTTATTTCTCTAGTTTGATGTTTTAAAATTTTATATACATGTGAGATTATACAATATTCTTTTCGGTATGATTTATTTCATTTAGCATAATGTCCTCCAGGTATATCCATGTTGTTGCACATGGCAGGATTTTCTTTTTTAAGGCTGAATGATGCTCCATTTTTTATATACCCATTAATCCATATGCAGTCATCTGTCAGTGGACGCTGAATTCTCATGTCTTGTTTATCATGAATAATGCTACAGTGGACATGGGAGAGCTGACATATTTTTAAGGTACTAGTTTTATTTTAATAAAGCTGAAAAAATAAAAATTAAAAGTGTAGAAAAAAACTTCAGGAAGTAAAGAGAACATTGATAGAAACTACCACAACAGAAGTGACTAAATAGTCTTCTGTTCAAAATACTTAGGTATGGTTCTGCCTTGGCCATCTTGCATAATTACTTCAAGACTAAATTCCTCAGTTCTTTTACTCCACAATTTTTAAAGGAAACAAAATGGTTTGTCAAGGTTGAAGGAAGGGGAGAGCATTGGGGGAAAAAGAATGAAGATATATCATGTATGGGTACAAATTCCCTATGATGAATGCTGTCATTACGTATATCTAAAATCTACCAATAAAATTAATTTTAAAAAATGATTTCCCAAAGTTCTTTGCAATTGATGTTTTACACATGTCTATATGACTTCCTCTGTTGATTATATTCCTAGCATTATCTTTTTCTTTAAGAATTGAGTTTAAGCTTTAGTAAGGAACATAAACTAAGATAAATTAAATTTCTGCATAATTCAATAAAAATTTTTCTCTCTGCTATTTCCCTGAACTTAGCAAAAAAAAAAAAAAAAGGGGGGGGGGCACAAAATGTACATATGTTGTTGAATTATATTGTAGAGGTCACTTGCATTATCTAGCTTCTTCAATATACTTTCCTTTTTGAGGCTAAGAAATGCTACTTCATTACATTTGTTTCAGCGGAGGTGTTTGGCTTCTGAATTGTATAACAAATTTTATAATTTAATTTGAGTATCTGAGTAATCCCATTCGTTCTTTCTGATTTATTACCCTAGTACATTTTCTCTGGAATAATAAGTTGATCTTATTTTTTAACTATAGAAGTCATTATATCTGTAGATTTGTCATTTTTAGTTGAAGATATTGAGGTAGGGCTGATAGAATTGTCAGCCTCAGGATATTAAAATAACATTTTTCCTGACTTTAGATGCTGTCTTTACTGACTAGCAGGCATATATAGTGCTTTATACACACCATTCTTCAGATTTTTAAGCAGCTAGCTAGGTTGTGTTATAGTTTTTCAGGAAATGCTCTGCAATATTTAACAGGTAAGATTGTCTTGCTCCCTGTGATATGTCCAGTAAAATAGTTCCTACTCCTTTTGTCTGTTGTTTCTCAACTTCTGATAAGCAGACTTGGCAATTCCTTTTGCAGCTTTTCTTCCAGCATATTCTAACCATCCAAACATTCTCTAAGGAGTTTCTCAGCTCCTCATGCTCTCAATGTCTGTGACTCAAAACAGATCAAAAGCCACTGTTGTAAGGAGCATTCTTTCTCACATCAACACAGTTTTTTAAGACCTGCACTGAAATGACAAATAGAATTTAAAAGTAGCCACGTAGTATTGGATTTTGCCTGGAAGTTTCTGATTCTATAGCAATTTCTGTGCCTGGGATTGTTCTACAGCCTCTGTCATCCATCAGTAAATAAAGACTGTGATGATTCCTGGGACCATATCCAATGGACCACAGTCTACATTGTTCAGAACCCTATACTAGGACTCCTGAACTCTAATAGTATATATAACTATATCTGATTATTTCCTAATACTGTAATTTAATAAATGAAAAACCTTCCTGTGATAAAAGTGAAGTATGAGTGAGCCCCAGATTCTAACAGTAAATTCTAATATCATTTTATTTGTACAGTTTCACAATATTTAAGTTTATTCTCTGTGTCATGTATGGTGCTGCAATGTGATTGTTTGTTTGTTTTATTTTTCTGTTGTATATTTAGTTCAAGCAGTAAATCCCAGGATCAGCAATATTACTGCTGCAGCTGCTGAGACCTCTGCCAATATCAGTTGGAAATATGAGGGACCAGAGCATGTGAACTTTTATGTTGAATATGGTGTAGCAGGCAGTAAGAAACAATTTCATTACCCTGCTTTTAATTTGGGGGACACATTTCATGAAATTAAGAACATTTTTAAGATTTACTGTGAATCATCCTGAAAAGTATCTCAACCCAATTAAGTGAATCAGAATTATCTTAAAAAGAGGGGCTGGGGATTTAGCTCAGTGGCAAAAGCGCCTGCCTGGCAAGTGCAAGGTTGTGAGTTTGGTTCCCGGTACTGGAGAAAAACCAAAAAAAAAAAAAAAAAAGAATTATCTTAAAAAGTACAGTGAACCATTACTAGGAGTCTCCTTTTTTCATGGTGTTGATAACAAAGCACATAAGCTCCCTTCAGATGTTATTTTTCATATCATAGTACTTTAAATTGGTTCTGTACCCAAAACATACAATAAGTAGTAGTGAATAATTTGTAAGTACAAGTAAGAAAGGATAAAAGGCTTTGCAAATTGGGCTGTGAAACAGTAGAAATCAGACTGACTTGAGAGTATGTTACCTAAACTATTGCAAGAATCTTACAAGAAATTACAGAAAATTAAAGCTTTATAGGAGCAACTATTACATTTGGGTGTTTTGACCCAAGTCAGGCCCTGTACTACCATCCCAGCCACATCTACTGGGAGATGGTGTAGCATTAATTTTCAACAGTTTACAGAGACCTAGTGTCCCTTCCTTAATGAAGAATATGCTACAGATAATGAGCTGGATTACCAATGAATGTTTGAGCAAATATTTGACAAAATATTGAACGTAGCCCAACTTTCTGTTTAGACCTTTATCTGACAAAGACATCTACTTCAGAAATGACTATCCTTTTAAAAGAACCAATACTTAGGAAAGCTTGAATCTATAAATTGGAGTTTACCAAAAGATTCATGCTGTGAATACTAAAAAATAATTCCCATAGTTGATTTATGCTATTTAATGTATAATGGTTCTTTTTATAAACATCTCTAGAGAAACTCAGCAGCATTGTAAGACAAGGTACAGAAGAAGAAGCTTCAAGGGGCTAAGGATGTAGCTCAGTGGCACAAGTGCCTGCTTGGCAAGCACAAGGTCCTGAGTTCAATTCCTAGTACCTGACCCCCACAAAAATATAGAGTCAGAAGAAGAAGGTTCCTTTATATTAAAAAGAATACAGTGGGAATATATATATAGTTAACATGGAATCTTTATATCCAGTAAATTTTTTATTTGAGTATATTTTCATGTAGGTCTTAATTTAATTGACCTACTTGATATGATTACATTTATGATAGTCTAAAATGATAACTAAGCATCCTAGATTTTGTCTTTCACTTATGAAGAATTTTCCTTTCTTGAAGCATTAAGTAACTTTTAGTCCCTTAAAATGTTCAAATTTGTTGTTTTTGCAAAATTTCCATAGGCAAAGAAGAATGGAGAAAAGAAATTGTAAATGGTTCTCGAAGCTTCTTTGGGTTAAAGGGTCTAATGCCAGGAACAGCATACAAAGTTCGAGTTGGTGCTGAGGGGGACTCTGGTTTTGTGAGTTCAGAGGCTGTGTTTGAGACAGGCCCAGGTGAGGCACACACCACACCAGTTCTGGCTGATGCTCAAAGGTGGAAGCCACCAGCCACTCTAGTTGGAGACAGGCTGGTGAAGCTATATTATGGGTAGGGCCATGAATGTCTCTCTGCAGGGCCCTGTTGGGTTGGGAGTTTGGCTTTCCATTGTCTTTGGCTCTGTATGTCAAATGAATTACAGAGTCAAGCAAATTATCTCCTAAGCACATTATTGCCAAAATCTGTTCTAAAGTACAGACTTAAAAATGAGTTTAATATCATTTAAGTAATTTGATTTTTATATAATTTACATACATGAAATTTCCCTCAATATTGAATATTAAAATTTTTGAAATGCTTTTAAAGTTGAAATAACTATGTCAAAATGGACTACAACCCAGCAGAACCCTGCAATTTGGCTAGATGGTTGATATAAATACTGTTAAGTTGGTGTGGAACAAGAAGTTATGTAATTCAAATGTTATATTTTTATCACAACAGATTTGACTGCCTGTATTTGTTATGTGAGCATGAACAAACTGTACCAGTAAAAAAGTAAAAGTTTTTCAAAGTAAAGAGGAATATTCATGTCAAATGCAAGAATATTCATATTTGCTCACAAGATGGAAAACAATCCCTGGTTGTTTACACGAGGGTTGTGTGGCACATGCTCGTTTTATGGCTCATAGATTCATCTTGTAATCAGTCACTTCATGCATATTGAGGAAGTATACGTATCCCATTGAAACAATAAGCAAAATGAATTTTGTGGTGTCTTTTATTAATAAGGCATTATGGGGCTGGGGATTTAGCCCAGCGGCACAGCGCCTGCCTGGCAAGCGCAAGGTCGAGAGTTCAATTCCGGGTACCAGAAAAAAAACAAAAAAAAAATGGTATTATGATTGTTAAGTCATTTCTTATTGTAAAAATATGCAACCATAAGTGGTTTAAAATAAGAAACTAAGGGCCAGGGAGATAGCTCAATGGCACCGCGCTGGCAAGTGCAAGGTCCTGAGTTTGATTCCTGGTACCCCCAAAAAATAAAATAAAATAAGAGACTAAAACCAAAGGTGATATTCAATAACTTATCAAATGGCATACTTAAATATCAATTGGCTAATATATTATATGAAAAAATTTCCCCATTTTTTCTTTTCCTTGTTTTTTCATATCCATTTATATACATAGTTCTAAGAAAACACTGCATTAAATGTGTTTAATCAATTTGTGATTAGTTTTATAAGGTGTTTTGGTTTTATGGTTTGGGTTTTTTGTTTTTTTGTTTTTTGCTTTTTGTTTTCCTGGAACATGGGATTAGATCCAGGGCCTTTACACTGAGCTCCATCCCAACCAATTTTACTTTTTATTTTTTATTTTGAGATAGTCTCACTAAATTGCTGCTTTACCTAGGCTGGGCTCAAACTTGGAATCCTGCTTACATACTAGCATTCTATAGTTATGTACCACTGCACCTGACTTTTTACAAGCTTTTTGTTATGGATAGCTTATAATTTCAAGATACTAAAAGGTCATGGAGGCAAACAGCTAGATTGACAGTAACAATAATAGCACTAACAGTCAATGCTCCTCTACACCGGGTGAGTGAGGGGTTTTCTCCTTCAGTCCTTACAACAATCCTAGAAGGTGGCACCGTTATTGCTCACTGACCCATCATATTGGTACTCAGAAGGGCGGAACCTGCCCAGGCCACAGCTGGATCATGGTAGAGCAGGGATCTGGAGCCTGGCTTTCCCACCAGAACAGAAGTCCCCGCCATACAAAGTCACAGAGGCAACACCCCAAGGGGAACACGCTGTCTCAGAAATGAGGCTCCATGTAGTTCGGACATGCAGATGAGACAGATTCACCCTCAAACCCAATTTGTATCATATTCTGTCCCTTTCCAAGCCAAAGGAAACTCCTTTAGATAATTTCTTTCCCTTAATAGTGTGACACCTCCTGTTTCAGCAGCAACTGCCAGGTGTCTCAAGGCAAGTGGTAGCGAGGGATGGGCCAATCTTGTATGACAGTGATAGGACAAGGTACCACCAGGCATCACTTTGTACATGTATATGGATGTAACTATCAAAAAGAATAAATGTTGGTTAAAGTCTAGTGACCTTAGTTACATATCATTCCTAAGAGCAAATACTGTCTGCATTCTAGAATGCCTCTCCTCAGAGTCTCTCTGACTCCCTGTCCTCCTGCTTTACAATACCCCACCCTTCGGCCTGAAGCTAACTCCAGAGAGAAGGCACTGACTTCTGCTCTTGCCCCTCCTTCCCCCGAGCTAGGCATGGAGGGCAAAGAACATCATTACTTAGTATGAAAACGTACCATTTGGTGAAGCTTTTAAATTCTACATTCGTGAGCTGCTTTTCTCTCTGAGTCCTGCTAATTTTGGAAACCTAGACTTAATTTTTCTTCTACACTTGTTGCATGAGTCTTCCTAACATGACTCCATCTGTGCCATTTATAGTTGGGACTGTTAAGGTGTATTCTTAATTTTCACTGAAAAGCAGGATGATAGGCAATGCCTGACACTTCGCTTCTCTCCCATATTCCAGGTGGGACCTCTCATTCATACCAGCCCTCTTCTTCTTCCTTTCTCACCTCTGTCCATCAGTTGTAGAGTCCCTTCTCAGACGTCACCAAAGATTAAAGTAGATTCATTTTTTTTTGCCAGATGCTGCCAAACATTGGTCAAGGTCCCTTTTTCTCTTTTTAAACACTTCTAAATATGTAAGCCAAACAGGACCTTTTTATACCTAGTTGATTCTTTATAAATAGAATAGTAAAAAATAGTAGCCATGTCTCTCACTCTGTTTCTTCCATGTCTGTTCTATGCTTCTGAGTTCTCAAGAGCACTTTCCTCAGAGACACCCCAGACTGATCACAGCTCCTCCATGGCACAGCAAGCAATGTAAGAGCAGAAGACTGTTGTTAAGCTGTCTTCTAGGCAATGAGGCAAACTTCATTCGTCTGCCCTTCTTAACTATGCTTATTATTCTGTATGTGTTTAATTTACCACTTTAGGGATTATTCAAGTAGTGCATGTATATAACTTTATTGTAGAAAATTTCATGTAAAGTCCCCAACCCATTCCTATTAACACCCACCTACTGTAGCTCAGCTTCTACAAGAAAAAACACATAGATTTCTTTTGTCTGTCCTTGTCTATGTGTGTGTGGTCTGCACAACATTATGACCTTGGTTGGTGTTTTGTGGATAGGCTGATTTAGAGGGGCTTCACGTTCCTTTTTTATAGATGGCAAGTCAGTACACCTATTTTCACTTTCAGAATTTTTGTTTTATATCAAATTGTGTTGCACTTCGTGTGTGTGTGTGTGTGTGTGTGTGTGGTGTGCACACATGCATTCACACCTACACTCATGCACCTATTTACTGTGCCAATTGACTTTAAATAATGGAGTAGAGAATATGTAATACCTTTTTTCCTTTGACGTGGAGGCAGAAATTCAAAGTCAATTTGAATGTTTATTCATCAGCTGTCAAGGAAATATATCCAGTTTTTGCACAGTTGCATAGGGACAGGCCACCAGTTCAATTTTGGGAGTCATCATCTTTGTAAGACAAAGTCTGTGCTAATATTTGAGCATCTTGTTGCATTTTTCCCTAATCAGTTGCCTTTAATTAGGTGGAAAATGTAAGTGTTGATATTATTTATGACAAAGATGTGAATCATTAAGCATGGGAAAAGCAAGGACTCTTTAACTTCAATCAAATGCTCAAGAGACTTTGCTTCGTTTTGGGTTTCGTTTTGAAGAGAAAGCACACAAAGACTATGTGTGAATTTTGGAAATATATTGGCAAAGAGGAAGTAATGATGGACCTTGAAAACACTTTCACATGTCTCACTATAGAAAGTCCATCTAACATTTTATTCTGTGTTCAGAAGTTTTCAGATTTGATGCCTGCATGGGTTTTCAATAGAGCGTAATAGTTAGTAGCATGCTCAATGGAGCCATCTCCACTCTTGGGCAAGCTGTTTACCCTCTCTGGCTATGGGTTTATTCCTAATATCTACTTCAAAGGATTGTTGTAAAGATTAAATGAGACTATGCCCTGAGCACAATGCCTAGCATGTAGTAAGGGTCCCCAAAGGTTAGCTGTCATTGTTGTTACCATTATCATCATCATCGTCGTCATCATGATGACTATGGAATGCGTATGGAAGGGGGAGCTGCCTATACTCATGCTCCAGTTGTGTCTGATTATGATACAGCTCCAAACCCCTCTAAGGATGAAGGGCTCCTGGGGGAAGGCAGTTGGCCTTTGATTTGTACTCCAGTTAATATATTTCCACTTCTCTTTTTATTTCTTAAACATATTTCCAGACTTTTTTTACATTGCTTTTCACATTTGATTTTAATCATCTTGTTTTTCTCCTTTGTATGGAGAAAAAGAGACTAGGAAATGTTGTTTTGCAACATACAGAAAGACTGGGATACGTGTAGCCATGCTTATTTCTGCATCGAGAAGTCACATACATCTAACCCAACCATGTGAAATGTTTCAGAAGAAATTCAGTCAACTAAAAGCATGATACAGGCATGATTATGAAGTCAGAAGAATAAAACTTTTTGCCTTGATTATGGGCAAAAGAGAAAAATGAAGTCCTTTAATGAAGCATTCATAAAATTTGTTTAAACAGATCTGCATGGGCATGTCTGAATAGCCATTGATGCTGCACTTTGTCCCATATGATTGACACTTTTGAGTAATACCAAAAATGCTAGTTATTCTGTGATTTTCCTAGGAGCTTTGCATACTATGACTGCTTGAATAAGGGCTTCCCTTTCACTTACTCAAGGAGAGATAAAGGCATAAAAACAATGTATACATGCAAATGGGTATTTTCTCTTCAAATTAGTCATTTATTCAAATAATGATTCCACTTGTCAAGATCTACTTTACAGTCTTGAGTCAGTTCTAAGTAATAATTAATATTGATTCTTTTTTTTTTTCTCCCAGTATCGGGAATCGAACTCACGACCTCACTCTTGCCAGGCAGGCGCGGTGCCACTGAGCTAAATCCCCAGCCCTAATATTGATTCTTTGAGGGTAAATTGATGTTTTAGGCATTTCTACTCAGAACTGAGGTGTTACATAAAATAAGATGGCTGGTTTTCTCATGTGATCAGGTTTCCTGTGTGGACCATTTTCTTTTTTTTTTTTTCTTCAACAGATTTCCAAAACACTTTGAAAAAATGGCATCTGTGTTATAATTATATTTTAGCCTCCAAAAATGATTTCCTTTGAAGGAAAAATACTCCACTAGATGTATACATTCTATTGTTTAACAATTCTGTTTTATATTTTATAATTGTACTTAATATACAATTTATCCTATAACTAATAGATTTTTAATTGGCTTGGAAGTATGTTTTCATTAAGAATATATAGTTAATTATGAGCACAGTTGTTAGAAGGGTTTAGTAGCAGCTAATATCATTAGTATTCGAATTTCTCTATTTGAATATTTTTAAAGAAGATTTTTCAAAGTTAAGCATTTATGTAATTCCCAATTGATCACTGACAGATTGCAATTTGGTGGCATATATAAAATATATAAAAGCATATATACTGTGGCAGGTTCTTACTACAAGAGACCAACCACAATTCTCATCGCTTCTTCACACATTCCCACCAACCCCCTCGGTTTGTCTTCCAGCAATGGCAAGTCGGCAGGTGGACATTGCGACTCAGGGCTGGTTCATAGGTCTCATGTGTGCTGTCGCTCTCCTTATCTTAATCTTGCTGATTGTTTGCTTCATCAGAAGAAACAAAGGTGGCAAATATCCAGGTAAGAATGATAAAAATTGCTGTACAATGCTGCATAATTTATCCATTGAACTGAAAAGAAGGGGCTGGGGATTTAGCTCAGCAGCACAGCACCTGCCTGGCAAGCGCAAGGTCGTGAGTTCGATTCCTTGTACTGGAAAAACAAAACAAACAAACAAAAAAAACAGAACTGAAAAGAATTGTGTAGATTATAATCATCTTAGAGTTATAAATTTAGATTTTCTATTCAAATGATTTTTGATCCCTTTTTATAGAAAGGTAACCTAAACATTGTCAAGCATCATAGGGCATTTGGAGGAGCAAATTAATCTGTTTTCTGAAGACATTAGAAAGTCCTCTTCCTTAGGCTCCACACAAGTCATGCATACTGAAATAGCACCTAAAACCAGTGGAAGTGGGGTGTGAAATTTCCCAGAAGTATTGTTTGAACCCAATTTTGATATTGTGCTGTATGACATTGCTTTTCCAATAAGGTTGATAGTTTATTTGATTTTGACAGTCCAATGAATATGTCTTCTTTTTTACCTGACCATTTCTCCTTCAGTTACTAGAAGAACCCTGTAAAGAATAGATTTACCAAAAAAGTTTATTATCCTGAATATAACTAATCAATAGATTGGTAAAGTAGGAAAGAAATCTTAGAAAGTTAAAAAATTTTTCATCAGATAAGAGACTAAAGTCAACTTTGTCAACAAGTGTTCATTCTATTAGATTTTCTCAAAATGACTAGAATATCTCAAAATGACTAAAATATATGTATGGCTACATAATATATATGGTAATACAACATCTACCTGTGTAGAGAATTATTTTCCACTGGTTAGATCTCAGAGTATAGTCTAAACTTTGAACGAGGAAGTACAAGACCAAGGCATAATAATGCCATTTCAAATTTTTTAGTTAAAGAAAAGGAAGATGCCCATGCAGATCCTGAAATCCAGCCCATGAAGGAAGATGATGGAACTTTTGGAGAATACAGGTGAGCCTCTTTCTGTTACACGTCTCTCATGGTTAAAACTGTTTTGTTTTTCATTAAAAATAAATTTCCATTTTAGTCACAGGTTTGGAGGCAGAATACCTTTCTTTCTGTCATATTTTCCAGAAGCCTGTGCTGTGTTGATCAATCTAGCAAGCCAGGGTGTTAGAGTGATAATTAAAACTAGATTGTACACAGCCTGCATTATAAAAGGAATGTGCTCTATAAGACCAATAGTCACCAGACTTTTAATCTTGGATTGTTTTAAATAATATGAGCACCCCCACTGTTAGTCATGAAATGATAGCAAAGTTGTTTTAGAAGCTATGAATTTCTTTAGAAGCTATTTACTATTAGGAAATATCCATCAGTCTATTTAGGCACTGTGTTAATCCACAGAATTTTGTTAAAACATTTTTTGCTTGACCTCATCATTAAGAAAAACTTTTAACATAACCTAGGTGATAAATGTTTTTTAAAATCTATTTAAACAAAAATATTCTTGCCTAGATGTTTTAGGTCTTTAACAAGAGAGAAATGATTCTCTTAGAAATGTTTAAAAATGGAAACAAAAAAGTGTTTAAAAGATTTATATTCTGATATTCCAAGAGAATATTTATATTTATAAAATTCTTTATACCTTGACTTTTTTAATAAGCTTCTTGATTACATGAGCTATAATTTTTGGAGTCTGCATTGGCCCCATACTGAGACTTTTTGCCAGAAGAAAAGACATTTAGGTGAAATAAAACATTTCACTATTGTGATTTCCAGGTGAGATTTGTAGATAAAGATACTTGCGTTAAGTATTTCCTGTCCCTGGAACTCATTTGCGGTATTTCTGTGTCAATATATGAGGCATAAAATAATGCCAAGAAATGTAGAATTATTGAAAAAAAACATACATTTTCAACAAATAGGCTTTATGCCAGTTTCTATTCAGATATGAGTATTTTGCTTACGTTGTCTTAATGCCTGAGCTTTCATATTCTGATCTTTCCTTCAACAGTGATTACTATGATTTCTAAAAGTCCTCAGAATTTCTGTATCTTAAGATATAGAAAAATGTCTAGTGAGGGTTGTCTTGATGCCGCATGTTGGTTCAGTGGCCGAAAGTGTATGAAAACCTCAAGCAGCTTCCACTCGCTGTACCCCAAAGGTTTTCCTTGTGCTTTAGAGCAGCCAGCAGAGGCCCGCAGCCTAGGGCAGCTTCTGACACTGAGGAGTAGAAATCTTCCCTGATTTAACTCACTCTTCTGCATATTTCTTCCATGAGCAGGTGAGCTGGGACTTGCTAAACAACCTGTTTTAGAGCTCTTGAAGCTAGAATTCTAGATAGGATATGCCTACCACTCCCTTATTTATTGTGATGAAGTGATATCTTTATTATAGCTTGGGAAAATTACATATTTGCATGAACTGAAAATAAACTGAAAAATAAAATCCCCCACATGCTGATGGACTCCTGTTCTACATTATCATGCTTAAATGGATAGGACGATGTACTGCTCACCTTGTGAGCCTGCAGTAGCCCTTTGCTATTACAGTGATGTCAAACAGTGACCTGAAAGAATCTGACTTTCTGTGGGTAATTATGCTGCCTACACCATTATTAAAATGGAAGTTGAGTTTTGTAAACTAGTTTGAAATCAAGAGACTGCTCGTTTTACTTTCAACTCAGCCATTACCTGAGATTCCTTTATATACTCGGTTTGTCTAGATGTTTGTTTAATTTATAAAATGAGACAGTTGTTCAAGTGTTAGATGATCTTTGAAGGCTTCTTTTCTAGTTCTATGATTTCTGTGCTCTCTATGAGTTCTCTACTAACAACTTCTAATATGATTTTGTTTCCAGAGCAGTACATAGCAAGCATTTCATTACTGGTCTCATACTCGCTACCTGATTTACACTGTTTGATCATCTCTCTCACTCTGCCTTTTTTTTTGTCTTAGTGTTAATTCATTCATGCTGTTTGTGGAGCGTTTTCAAATGGCTGTCTTTAGCTTTTGCCTTGAATTTTCAAGATGGATAGATTTTAATTCGGGCCTATTGAATATAAACCCAATTGGAGTAAAGACAAAAGTAATTTTTACACATGTAATGACACTGATCTTAAGGGGACCAAAGGAAACAAAGATCTGATGGTGTTTTCAACTTGAAACACAATGGTGATGTGTTACTGTTGTTTTAAATGAGGTGTAAGCTCAAAAGGACAATCCCACATACAAAGTCACTTCCCTAACTTCCAAGACACCCTTTGTTACGGATGTGGCTTTGTCCTGTAACTTTCAGACACTACCTCAGAATTTTTTCCCTTTGGTTTTATTTTTATTTAAAGAACTCAGAAGACCATTATTATCTTAGGTGTCATAATTGATGAAAACGGTTCCAACTGTTTATTACAGAATTATTTTTTAAAATAATACATGAACTATCATTCTCTTCCCTAGATCATTGGGGTCCTTTCTCTGCTTTGCACTGAAAATAAATTATAATGCTCACCACACACCAACACCCACAAAATTAGGACTATTGCCTAAATGTAAATAAATTCCATTTATGGTTTGCTCCTTCTCCAGTCAGAGGATGAAACCATTTCTACATGGCTGGCTTGGAGCTAGAGGACATTTCATAGTGCAAAGAGGGATGGAACTTCAACAGTGGCCAAATTTGATTTTCTTTTTCGTACACTATAACCCTGTGCCCTCACTCACCCACCCTTAAGCAGCGATCCTCTCATGGAAGCCTGCAGCTTTCTTTGTTTGTTTTTTTAATTATACAGACAGTAGGATCTGCATCCTTACTAGCATGTAGAAAAATCAGAGAAACAATGCAACCAACTGTGTAAGTATTTTCTTATTCTTTAGATGCATTCTTTTTAAAACCAGAGTGAATCTAGGTGATAGATCCTATGCAACTGATACTTGATCTCACAGTTTACTGCATAATTCAAGGCTCTTGCCATGGGAATCCTGTCATTTGTGTGAACACGGCCCTGCTGCAAGTTTGCTAACCCACATGCCCAAAGCTTGCATGATATGGAGTGGTGTCACGTTTGTTACATACTTGATATTTATTCTGCTCACCAACATGACCTAATGCACATCTAGAGAGTGTGTCAGGAAGTTTTGGGGTCATGAATATCTACAAACTGTGTCATGGTTTGGCCATGGTAAGGTGTTGACTACGGGAAAGTCAAATTATCACAGATCTACTTGCTGCTGCTGAGTTTTACTCAGCTGGCATTTAATGGTTGTGTGCAACCCTGAACCAAGCACTACTGAAAAAATTGAAGTCCTTAATATTTAGTCTCAGTATAAAGGAAAGAAAAATGTATTTCAATCCTTTATCTGCCATCATATAGTTAAGAAGGAATAAAATATTTGAATGTTTGAGTCTCAAAGAATTTCTAAAATGCCCATCTCCTCTGTTGTTCCTTTGCCTGAATTCATCCAAATGTGTATTGAGTGCCTACTCTATGCCAGGCTTTACACATATTAAAAGCAGTAGAGTTTAGTGGCAATTAAGAGTTATGATCTAGTGAGGGATGCAGGGAAGTAAAAGGATGGTTTGACCAGAGTGTGAAAAAGACACAACTGAGTATTGAGAAAGCAGGGCAGGAAGCTGAAGCCAAGCACCCCATGTAGAAGGAGAAAGGTGCAGGCAGTCTTCCTCCAGGAAGTGACACCGGAACCCAGTTTTGATACTAGCGTGTGGATGTTTACTTCCACTGCACTCCAACTTTGATTTATTAATGAATATATTTTGTATCTATTATATACTATATTGTAACACTTTAAAATTCATTTAAATTCACTTTACCTTCTAGCCTAACAATAATATTGTTTGCCTACAAACATGGATAAATGATTTGTTTTTTAAAGCATTGCAAACTGCATAGCTAGTATGTATATAACCTTTTATCCTATATATAGGGAAATTATACCTATACATAGAATCTGTATGTATTAACTATACAGAATATTGGGTTTCATTGTGACATTTTAATGCATGCATGCAACACATCATCTTCAGTAACTTTTAATTCCTGTCATTTGGAAAACTATCCCTCTCACACTTAATCTGGACAAGATGACTTTCCTTGGCACAATGTTAAAAGCAGTTTATTTACCATTTCATTATAAAATTGATCTCTGGGGGCTGGGGATTTAACTCAGTGGCACAGCGCCTGCCTGGCAGGCACAAGGTCATGAGTTCGATTCCCAGTACCAGAAAAAAAACCACACGCACATACACACACACAAAAAAATGGACCTCTGAATTAATAGACTGCTTCACACAGACTTGAAATCACTCATCACATCTGAAGAGTTCTGTCTGGGTAGAAAGAGGGGTGACAGGCATAGACACGTATTTGTTGAGGGCCAACCATGTGCCCAGCACTGTGCTTGTGCCTTATATGATCTTTTTCTCTTTGGACTACCTTCTAATTACTGAGGCATACTATTATCTCATGCCACTTTTTTAAAGCTAAGGTTACAGAGATCTTGCTGTCTTTGAACAGCTTTTGCTGGAAGGACTCTGTGGATAGAGTATCTCACATCTTCTCTTCTCCTCCCTCCACACAGTGTGTTGCTGTGCTCTCGTCCACACAGCCGTGAAGCTGGGCTGGATGGATGCCTAGGGGGCCCCTCTTGGCAGGTCGTTATTCATAACTGACATGATCGCCCATGTAAAAAATCCAAACGGGAAATATATTAATTATCAGGGTTTAGTACTGCCGTTTGACACAAAAGTAGCATAAAAGTAAATTATATGTCTATGTATCAGCAAAAGTTGGAAAATGAGATTTTTTTAAATGAGTCTAGTTAGGAAAATATAAAAATATAATATGACAAAAAAAGATTTTTTACTGGTCTCAGAGCTTTATATTCCATTTCACTGTCAATTTTACCAACTCTGCACCAAAATTACACTGTCTTAACCACATTAATAAGTCCTAACATCTGCTAGGTCAAGTTCTGTAACTTTGTTTTTCTTCAGGAGTTTTTAAGATCTTCTTTGCCCTTTTCATTTGCACACACACTTTGAAATCATCTTGAACGAGTCACATAAAAACCTACCTGATATAAATAAATTAACTCTGAAGAGCTATCAGGGGAAAATCAAGTATTTTCAGTACTTGAGTCTCGTATCTATAGGTGTGTTATGTTTATTTATGTCTTTTCTAATAAGTCTGAATGAAAGTTTTATTTTCTTCACAAAGGTCTTTCACATATTTTATTTAATTTTTCTTATGTATTTCATATTTTATGGCACCGTAAATGGAATAACATTTAAAATATTTACTTTCCAGTTGTTTGAAAGGGTACAATTAAAATTTAATTTTACACTAAGTTATTTTTTCTAGTATTTGCCTGTAGATCTTTCTAGGTAATTCACATTTATGTACAATGACAATTACTTCTCATTTCTTTCTTTTTCTCATCACATTGCTTAGTACTTCCAATGAAATTTCAGTTTGAAAAAAAAAAGAAATTTCAATTTGAAATGGTGACAGTTGCCATCTCTACCATTGTTTCTGATGTCAAAAAAAAGCTTTCAGCATTCACCATCAAGGATGTTTACTCTAGTTTTCTTGTAGAGATCGGTAATCAGATTAGTGAAGGTATTTTTCTGTACCTACTATATTAAAATTTTTATTATTAATGGATGTTAAACTTTGTCACATATCTTTCCCTAAGTCTACTATGATCACCATAAATACTTCTATTAAAATGGTAAATTTTATGAATTGATCTTTCAATGCTAAAAAGATTTGTATTCCTGGACTAAACCCAACCTGGGTATATGCTATATTATCTTTTTATTCTCGATTGCTGACTTCAATTTGCTCATTTGTTTGAGGTTTTCTCATATATGTCCATGGATGACATTAGCCTCTATTTAGACTTTCTCTAAGTGTTATTGTTGATTTTATATATCTGTGTCAGACTAGCCTCATAAAGTTAGTAAAGGAGTGGTCACTGTGACATGTCCAAAACTGAACCACTGCTCTTGTCCCAGACAAGCTGCACTCCATAGTGACTTACACAAATTCCAAGCTTCCTGTCACTCAAACTACAAATCTTGGTGTCATCCTTTTCCTCTCTTATTCCATACCTAATCCATCAAAAAAAAAAAAATGCCATTGGTTTTGCCTGCAACATATGTCCATAATCTGAGCATTTTGTACCAGTGTCCCCTGCCTCTCCGAGTCACAGTCGTATCATTCCTAGATTACTGCATTAGCCTCCTCTAACTTCCTACAGCAGGGCCTAGAACCCTTGTTCCATAACAGGCCCAGAAGTATGTCCTAGAGTTTGCAGACTGTGCAGTCTCTGCTGCAGCTCTACAATTCTGCAGATGTAACACAAAAGCAGCCATAAACGCGCACAGCCCAAGTTTGCTGTAGCTCACCAACTCCTACCCTCTAGAGTAGGCGCTTCTCAAAGCTGATGACAGAGAAGGCTTTCAAAATGTGGATCAGATCAAGTGACTCATCTATTGAAAACCCTCCAGTGGCTTCTCCAGCCCTGCGCTTTCTTTACCTTCATTCTTTTAGTTTTAGCCACAAAAGCATCTTTCTGTCGTGAGAATAAACCAGCCTTAGGTCAGCGCATTTATACTGATTGTGGCTTTTGCCAGAATTGTTCAGCAGCTTTCCACCTGCTTAATTTAACTCTTTTAAGTCTTTGCTGAGATATCACTTCTTAACAAGTCCTTCCCTAGCCATCCTACTTCAGTACTAACCCTCCAACCCTTCCCTGAACATTTTCTATCTTCCTTACTCACCCTTTATTTTCTCTAGTACTAGCCACCTTCTGATACAACTAATTTTCTTTGTTATGCTGATTGTTAATTGAATTTTCCCCACTACAAGTAAGCTCATTGAAGTCAGAATTTTAGTTTCCTTTGCTCACTGCTTTATGCCTTGTGCCTAGAATAACTTCCACCTTAGAGTGGGCACTCAATAAACATTTATTGGATGAAAAGATGAGTGGATAGATTGCTGGATCAAAGAAATGCCGTAGACAAATTCCTGTAGTATATTCCTTGGAACAGTAGTTCTATAAAGCGGAATTAAGACTAGTATTTGGAATTCAGGTGACAAATTCTGCTCATTATTGAACTCTTCTGCAGCATTAACCTTCTCACCAACTCATACTCAATGTTTCACAGGAAGTCGTCAAGCAAAGACCATGATTAAATCCTAAAGATACTGTAGAAGCTATTTTTATATTTAGCTGGGTACTAGATACTGTGTCTTCGGAAATGCCTCCAAAGACAGGCCAGCAGCAGGTTCTTTGATGCCACTCCAGTTATTTATCAGCAGTACTGATAAAAATCAATTATTCAAATTGCAAAAGAACTTGTGCATTACTTAAACAGGTCATTTTCAGTACCCCATGGCAGTGTCATATTTCTAGCATTACTTCCCAGCCTTAAGATATTCTTATGGGAGACAAAATGAAATTTCTAGTTAATGGCCAAAAGAGCTAAGCCAGGCATGGTGGCACATACCTGTAATCCTAGCAATCAGGAGACTGAGGCAAGAGGATCACTGAGAGTTCAAGGCCAGACTGAATTGAATAGTGAGACCCTGTCTCAAAAAAAAAAAAAAAAAGCCAGAATGTTTGGACAACTTAAATCTTTGTGGCTTGACTAGAAAAGAAAGATCACTCTCTATGACAGGAAATAATTTAATCTACCAACAATATCTACCAAGTTGCTAGATAAAAGTACCCAGCTAAGGTGACCTCTGTTATATTAAAGCTTTTTATTAATATTGTGTCTGTTTTCTATTTTGCCCTGCATTTTTGGGGTTTTTTTGGGGTGTGGGACAAAATATTGGATTGCCTTTGTTTGCTATTTATTTCCAAATTTTACCTATTAAGGGATAGGTCAGAGTGCATACCTAAATAGTTATATGACCATATTTGTGGACAATTTTTTTTGGGGGGGGGTTAACAGGGATTGAGCCCAGGGCCCTCATCCTGAGCCACCTTCTTGCCTTTGTGTTTTATGTTTTGTTTTTTTGAGACAAGGTCTTGTAAGTTGCTAAATTGCCCAGACGGACCTCAAACTTGACATTTCCTGTCTCAGCCTTGCAGAGTGCTGGGATTACAGGCACGTGCTGCCATACTCAGGTAGTAGACATTCTTAAACGTAATGATTACTCCTCTACTTCCAAAAATTGTGCTTAAGGGGTCAACATAAAATAAACACACTAGTAGTAGTAATAGAATCCTATGAAGTTTTATTAAAGTACACTCTAAGATTCCCATCCAACATGGATAGTCATGAGAGAGGGTGAAGGTGGTTAGGATGGGACAGGAAGTGTTTGCACTTACGTGCTGGGAGTACTCACACTTTCGAATATATTGGCATGCCATTCATGTACAAATGAAGTACTTTTAAATTAAATGTGTCTCTTTCCAAATTAATAAATACTTAGCCATTGACTAAAATTTTTATAGGAAAAAAGTATACTATCAGTATAAGGATTTTGCTTTTCTTCTTAGGCTATTTTCATTTGTTTCTTCTGCATCCTTTTAATGGGATTTGTAGGTCTCTTGAAAGGTAAGGTTGAAGTTTATTAGTCTGGCCTGTACTTGATAACAAAACTATTTGAAATACAAGATTTTTTTTTTGCTTCTCCTGGCTCAGAAAAAAAATCCATATTTCACATTTAACCAAATTCATGCTCCTCCATTCACATCCAAGAGTAGGATATCAGAGATGTCCAGTTTAACGTACTAACTTCTGTATTTCCCATAAGCTTTTGCCCCACCCCTACCCCATGAATTCAAAACAGGAATGATTTTTTCAACTTTTCTCAGTTCTTCCCTTTTTAATGCTTGTGATTATTTCTGGATTGCTTTCCAATCAGGAATCAGAATCTCATTGAAATTAACATGCACTGTCAGAAGCCATCCACTCTACTGAGGACTTCATGATTTAACCATTCTGCACTTGATTTTCATTCCAGCTCCATCCTAGTCATTGCAGTCAACCTGGCAGTTAGATTTGGCTAAAGAAGCTCAGGACTCCAAATGCTTTTTCATATTTTGCATGCATGGTCTTTAAGAACAAAATATGTTACCTGCCCACCGTGTTTTACAAAAACGTATCCCCTCTTTTCCAGTGACGCAGAAGACCACAAGCCTTTGAAAAAAGGAAGTCGAACACCTTCAGACAGAACTGTGAAAAAAGAAGATAGTGATGATAGCCTGGTTGACTATGGTGAGGGGGTGAATGGCCAGTTCAATGAGGATGGCTCTTTCATTGGACAGTACAGTGGTAAGAAAGAGAAAGAACCAGCTGAGGGAAATGAAAGTTCAGAGGCACCTTCTCCTGTGAACGCCATGAATTCTTTTGTTTAACCTTTAAGCTCTTTGTCAGTGTCCCATTTCTCTAGGATATTTATCTTAAGCACTTGTTTGTCAGAACTCTTATACTATGAATATATGGGTTGAAAGTATGCTTTCTTTGCTCTATGTTAATATTATGAGCACAGTGAAATCAAGAACATAACTCAGTCGAATGGTATGTTAACGTGAACTTGAGTGCAAAGTGCATATACTTTTTCATTTAATGTGGGGTGTTTTTTTTTTTAACTTCCTCAGAACTTGATCAAAATAATGCAACACCATCAACATATCATATTATTTCCTCTTCGTCATACAATAAGATGCATGGAAAATGCTACACATTTAAAGAACATACCTGTGTATGTTACTGAAACATGGTTTGACAGTTTGTTTATACTATCCTCAGCTGAACCCCTAAATATGAATTCCGTTTTCATTGTTGAGAGTGTTACTGTAGTATTTTCTAGAACTTCAATGTCTTTGTGGACATTGTTGTGAAATTGGTGACTCTACGTCTAGCTGTTGTTAGTCTTTTTGGGAGACTATTAGGAACAATATGTACAGTATATTCTTGCTAAATGAGTTAACTATGACAGTTGCATTTGCTGATGCTTACTGAGACTCTGTTACCTGCTTTTTGCTCCTGTTACTTCATAGGCTTCTTAATCTTCCAGGTATTACAGCAACACAGTGTTCTACTTTTTACATTATTATCTCTATATTCAGTTATTTTTAAGCAAAAACAATGGGTATTGCCATGCATTTTGGCGTTTGTGCCATACTGAAGGAATTGAAAGCAAATCACCCAAATTAAATTTCAAAAATTATTCCAGAAAACACAGGGCAAGACACATGCAGTGCCTTCAGACAATAAGCATTCCATAGCATACCACATTCTCTAGCAGCTGATATGGTCAGCTCCATCCTACACTAATGTCATTGTCAAAAAGTAACTTTTAGAAAGCAGAGATAATGAAAACTGCAAGACTGAAAAAAAAAGAAATATGAAAATATAAATGGTAAGACATCATTTTGAGGAGCGTTTCCCCATAAATATAAAAAGAAGAGCTCTATCATTAACTGGGGGCACATGATGATTTTTGTGATCTTTTATAGTTTCTATTCGGACAAGTCACATTCAGTAAGAAAATGGCAACATGATAGAAAATTAATAGAAAAACAAAAAAGTTACCTTAAAGCTAAAAACATATTCGAGCATGCCAACCATAATACATTATTCTAAGGTTTTACCTGTGTGAACTTTTGCAGTTCTCTGCAGCATTAAGCAATGTGTACACAAATTGCAATGGACACATTACAGAATCTGACAAGTGCTTAAAAGACCAACAGTCAAAAGGAATTATATCTGCATTTTAAATATATATATATATATCCTATCATATTCATAAACAATATCTACCAAATGGTTAACCTCCAAATATGAAAATCTATAACAACCTATGGTTGAAGGAATGCTCAGTTTCATTTGCCAATAAATTGGTTTCTCATAACTTGCATCAAGTTTAATTTTAAGTAAAGCTTTTATATGTAGATATTTTGTTGAATTTGTAAATATACTTAAAGTGTAGATGATGCAGTATGCTTACAGGTATTACCTACAAATAAATAGCAACCAATGTTCATGTTGTACTGTGCAAGAAGTAAGCTAATTAATACAGTGTGTGGGGTTGCAAAGCATCTTTTTGTATGTGTTTTTTCCCTATTTTTGCTGTGAAACTGAAATAGTGAACTTTTCTCCATACTGACAGCAGATTTCTAGCTGAAATCCTCAGAGCTTTTCCTGTGGAGCACAGTAGGCTTTGTGACCAGGTGTCTTTGACATATGCAGGTAAAGCATAATTGAGAGTAATCCCAGGTCAAGATGGCACTAAATGCTTCCATGTCTCTATATTCACATTTTATGGATCCACCTATCTATTGGAAATACAAAAAAATAAAACAGGTTTGTCTTGGCATCAAAGAGCACAATGATAAGTTACTTTAAATTTGTCAATGTTTGAGAGAACAATAAAAGCATAGTTTTTACTCTTCCATAATGGTAGATGCTAAATTTATCTGTGCATGAAAGAATCACTTCTCAAATAATGCAACAGATTTTGTATTAAAAATTAAATGTGGTTTTAAAAGTCCCTCTCTCTTTTGTAATTTATCATGTTCCTGGTGGAGTGTGAATGTCCAAATAATGGTATGTGTAACAGTGCAGGTAAATGTGACTGGACTTCTTTCAAAAATGTAATTATTAAACAGTCTTGATCTCTGTGATTTTTAACTTTTCCAACATACATTTCCTAATGTTTTAAAGTAGTGCAATTTTTTTTTTTTTTTTGTTTTTTTTGTTTTTCTCCGGTACCGGGAACCGAACTCACGACCTTGCGCTTGCCAGGCAGGCGCTTTTGCTGCTGAGCTAAATCCCCAGCCCCAAAGTAGTGCAATTTTTTATGTTTACTTTTGAAAAGCTTTCATATGTAGAGAAAATTAAACACAAAACTAAACAATTTTAAAGACATGAGAAAAAGACATCAAAAAAATTAATGAAAAGCAAGAACAGATATTACCAGTCCTTTAAGAAAAGACCCAAGAAATCCAACCCTGACTCCTTTCTCAAAGACTGATTCCTCCTGTCAGTCAGACCTTCTTTTCTGCCTGTACAACCTTCGCCATCCTCAGCCACAGGCAACTTGGGTTTCTAATCATGCTTGATGAAGCAGCTTGGACATTTGCAAGTATTATATCCATTTCCTTCTCTCCACCCTCATTTTTCTCGTTGTGTCAAAACTGTCTCTGCAGATAGCCCAAGCCTAGCATGTTCCACCACCTGCCCCTTAGTCACAGGTCCCCTGGTCCCAGCCTTTCTCTTCTGAGGCCAGCTGGCCAGAACTCCCCTCCCTATACAGTTATTGGAACAACACCTTATATACATGAACTGTTATGATACTGCATAATGCTTAGTCTTTCTTCATGGAGGGCACATCTGTGGCTCATTCTGGAAGACCAATCAAGCCCTCCTTCCACTCCAAATTCACAGACCACAGCCTGTGTACCTGTCCATCCCTATTTAGCAACAGGGGCTGGCAAAATGTAAGCCTGCCACAAGAAGCATGGGTCCATTGCTGGTTCAAACCTTCTTCTTCTGGTTTATAATGGTCCTGCTTTATTTTTATTGACTGCTCTTGGAAATAGCTTGTGAAGTCAAAGAACTGAGAATTGTTACCCAGCACATGAGATTTTTCTACAGGTGACCACCAGAGGGCTCCTAGGCTTTACTCAACAAGAAAGAAACAAGATTGCTTGCAAAAGCAGCCGCCTTGCAAAACAGTGCATATCACTTTCAGTAATCATACTAGAGTCTGATGATATGAAAAAAAACAGTCACCTGCTGCAACAGTGGAGATGAGATTAGCAACTTTCTCTGATAAGTTCACAGCTGCAGGGACAAAGCATGTGGCCTGTGAGCCTTTTTTCACCACCTTATTCCTGCAGGTTGTACCTGGGGCTCGGTAACTTCCACGGGGACAAGAGGAAGAGAGAGGGTGTGCCCTCCAAGGGGTTTCTCCTCCTTTTTCTCAAGCGTGCTGTTCTGTCTGCCTGCCACCAATGGTTTCATGTTTTATGATTGTAGAGCACAAAAACAACATGTTTTGAGCACATATAGCTCTTATTTTTCACTTTAAAGGGCAAGAGAGAATATTATTAAAGTCTATATTAAACAAATAGTTGCTAGGTGGAGGTGGAAAAGTCTCCAGACTGGAGTTCTGGAGAACCTTCCAGTTCTACCATGGCTTGTGGCTATGCACAGGTGAACTCCCTGATATCCCACTTGTCCACATCTGTTTGTTTGGCTAGAAAATGACAACTACAACGTGATTCCTAAGACACCTTTGCCATTGAAGACTGTGGTTCTCCCAGTATCAACAACAAAATTCCAGGCACCTATCAGAGTCAGATGTTTTGCTATGTGAGGAAGAGACATGATGCAAAACCAGATGGGGGTCCTGCTCCCCTGGAGCCCGGTATCTGTGTGGAAAACAGACATGATCAGACAACCACCAAGATGAGTGTGTAGTTAGAGAGAGCTGGGGAGGGACCACTATCCTGGGAATACAAATGACAGCAGAGCCCAGGCAAGGCAGTCAGGAAAGGTTGCCCTGAAGAACTGTGCATGGAGCAGTGAGGGAGGACCAGGAGGAGCAGGCCAGGGAGAGCTGCTGATGGGGCCAGGAGGTCTGGAACTGAGGCAGGGGCCAGGCCTCACCAAGCCTGAGTGTCACATGAAGCTTATGCATTTATTCAAGGAGCAAGGGAAGTTCATGTTGAGGGAAGCGAGGGCCACAGGACTTTGCATAGAGAATGGACTGGAACACGGTGGCTCTGGGAAGGTGCTCTTTCAAGGAGAAGCACAGGTGGAAGGAGTGAGTGGAGTCTGAAGATACTGAGGGAACAAAACGGCAGGAGTGATGGATGGCATGTGGGAGATGGGGAAAGGAGATACCAGGAAGGGGTAGGCTTAGATTTCTGACTTGCCTAACTATAACAAACTTTGCTGAGGTGGGAAGCTCAGAAAATGACCAGGTTTGGAGGTAAGTTACCTATAAATTCAAGTGAGCAGATGAGGAATTCAAAAACTTCGAGGCATTCAAGTGGAAGTGACTGGTAGGAATTGGATATGGTGGGCTTCGAGCTCCCTAAAAACTCCGAAGATGATGAGTAGTAATTCAAGCCATGAGTCCTGGATGAGGTTCTGAGAAAGGTGAATATGGGCAAGAGGACTGAGGGCTCCCCTCACTAGGAAACTCTGAAATACAATGCGCAGGGGAGGCCTCCGCAAGAGAACAGCCGGGAGGAGCCATTCTCAGGAGCTCCTGGCCCGGAGACCCAAGGAGAATGTGTTGACTGGAAGCCGGTGAAAGAGACTATTGCCAGCATGAGAAATAGAGCAAAATGAGGGCTGGAAAATGTTCCTTGTACTTGAAAGCATGGCGGCCATCTGAGACATCGCTAAAAGCTTTGCTAGAGGCTGGCAGCAAATTGGAATGGGATGCAGAGTAGGAAATGGAGACAAGGAGTTTTGTCTTTACTCACATGGACACCCCTCCCGGGGGTGTCCCCTTGACATCCCCACCTAAATAATAATGTGATCTCAGTGTCCCACTCTGCCCCCCACCTCCCCAACCCCGCTGTTCCCGTGGTTTTCTTCCAAGCCCTCATCTTATTGCTTTCCTCCATCCCTTCTCCAGCAGAGTTTATAGTCTATCATACTGAAAGGATGGACCTTACCCTAACGTTATTTGCCTCTCTGCCTTTTCTACATACCTATGGAGGTATCATGGGACTCAGGATCAAGCCTCCTGCCTGCCCGTAGGAGTTGTAGAATTTTCAGTACCACTGGGAGTTCATAATCACTTCCCAACAGTTTACTGTCAACATTGGTCAGTAAACTTGCTGTTTTTTTCCAGAGAATTTACATCCTCAAACTCAACAGTGACTTTCAAATCTTCTCCACTCTCCTCAGACATTACTCCCTGGCTTCCTGCTTACCCTCGAACCACCCTCTACGAAATGACCTTACATTACAATTCACTGGAGGGAAGGAAAGGGAGGGGAGGGCAGAGGAGGGGAGACATAGATGGGAGCTCCCTCATCTCCTACTAGCCTGCCTCAGTGTGCTCCATTCTTGCCCCTGCCTCCTAGAAAAGCAGAGGTGTCCTACTTCCTCCGGCCCAGGACCAGGCTTTCCTCCTAGGTGGACTCTTGGCCTTTGGGTACCCTGCTTTTGCTTCCCTGAGTCATCTTTTGATGTTCAAACAGCTCAAATCTCCCAGAAACAAACAGAGCTTTGAAGGCTTGCATTCCCTACACTATGCACCCCATTGAGCTATGTTCTTCTCCTCTTCTTGTCCAAAAGTGTGACATAATAGCAGGAAAATTATAGGAGGCCGATCATGGAGGCTACTCTGCCAGACAGTACATCCTTTGTTCCTCGTGTAGCCATCAAACTTCTGCAGCCCCATTCAGTTTGTCCTATAGACAGTGTCTTTCTTCATCTGTAACTATGTAGCTCATTATCTCAGTGGATGACTCAGCAAAATTTTTTCACTTTTTAATCGGAGGCAGCACACTGAAATCCCCTGGGTTTCTAAACACCTAACGCCAGCCCTACAGAATCTCTGTTGTTATTGTCTGAAATCTGGCTTCCACATCATGATTTTTTAAAGCTCACCAGATGATTCTGATGTGGAGCTAGGATGGAAACCAGTTTAAAGGCACAGCCCTCGCCTGCCTGGCAAGCGCAAGGTCGTGAGTTCGGTTCCCGGTACCGGAGAAAAACCAAAAAATAAAAAAAAATAAAAAATAAAGGCACAGCCCTGTTCCCACACTATTGTGTGTGCACTTAAAGTATCCAATTTTCACTACATTTCTGCACATATCCCTCCAGGTGGATCTCAATTTCTCTTGTATTCCTCTACTTAAAAAAAAAAAAAAATCTAAAGAAAATAGATCCCCTTATATTCCTGGTGGAAATATAACATGGTGCAGACCTTTAGGAAAACAATTTGGCAGTTTCTCTAAATGTTAAATGTGAATTTGTCCTATGAGCCAACAGTTCCACTCCTAACTATATACCTAGGAGAAATGAAAGCCATGCAGAGACTTCGAAGGTAATGTGCACAGAAGTATTAATCTCAATGGCCAAAAGACAACCCAAGTCCATGAACTGATGAAGAATAAACAAACGTGGCATATCCATACAATTAAATGGTGAATCTACATAAATAAAATATTCATTAATTTTAAGTATTAATACAGGCTTCAGTGGGAGACACCCTAAAGAGTATTATGCCAAATTAAAGAAGCCAGACAGAAAAGACCACATATTGCATAATTCCATGGACTTGAAGTGTCAGAAAACCCGGCGGACAGAGGAGACTAGTGGCTGCCTGGGGCTGGAACAAGGCTTCACCCTAAGCTGATGTGATAGATCTTACTCCAGTGATGGAAATGGTCCACAGCTGAATAGTGCTGATGACTGTACAACTTTGTAGTTTTACTAAGATATCATTGAATTTTCTACTGAAAACTAGTGAGTGTATGGTATTAAATCACTCGGGAAAGCCACTCTCAGCCATTTTGC